AAGTGACAGGAAGTATGGTTATAGAAGTGACAGATGGGCACAAGAAGTGACAGTTAGGAAGGGTTGTAGAAGTGAGAGATGGGACACAAGAAGTGACAGGAAGTATGGGTATAGAAATGACAGACGGGACACAAGAAGTGACAGGAAGTATGGGTATAGAAATGACAGACGGGACACAAGAAGTGACAGTTAGGAAGTATGGTTAAAGAAGTGACAGATGGGCACAAGAAGTGACAGGAAGTATGGTTATAGAAGTGAGAGACGGGACACAAGAAGTGACAGGAAGTATGGTAAAGAAATGACAGATGGGACACAAGAAGTGACAGTTAGGAAGTATGGTTATAGAAGTGACAGATGGGACACAAGAAGTGACAGTTAGGAAGGGTTGTAGAAGTGAGAGATGGGATTGCTTTTTTCTTCCCATACACGGACACATAGCTGGCCCAGGTCTCGGCCTTGTGTCTGCACTCATGTACTTGGTTGTGTTTGAGGAATTGGAGACCTTCTTATCAATGTGTGATGGAGATAGCCATAACTGCTGCCACAATCAGGTTCATGGGAAGATCAGCAGTTAGACACGTTTTCTCCGTCATGGCTTGTTGGAAGTCTGTAACATACTATTGGGGTTTTAGATGATTGTCTTGGACCTACAGTGCAGGGTAGCGAGTACAAACGTCTCGGACTAGTTTCAGCAAACCTTGACATGGCTGGGAGGTCGGGGAACAGCTTCTCCTGGCATTTTCACTCTAGCTGACCTATATACATTGTGATATGTTCTGAGTTACGAGTTCATCTCCCAAGTGGAGACCTGGTGACTACAACACGCCAGGCATAGTAACTACATATAGCTGAGCGGTACCTCTGTGAGCAGAACCTACAACACTGATCCTTCAATTGCAGAGACCAAGAGCAACGCTTGTAGGCAAAAAAAAATGGGATTGAATATAAACATGAGAGATGTTAGAGGTGAATGAAGAGACAGAGGAGAGAATTAGACTCATCTCACTTCCAGAAGGATTGGGACTTTACTACATCTGGTGAAGACAGAATGATCATATCTGTAGAGATAGTTAGCTTCTTGGCACAGGAGATCTTAGGATTCCTACCCAACTAGAGGAGAGATGGATATTCTTCTAGAGGAAGAGAGGAGAATTGGACTTCTCTCCTGAGAAGAGGAGATTAAGGGGGGATATAATCTCCATTTACAATACATAAGGGGGGATATGATCTCCATGTATAATACATAAGGGGGGATATGATCTCCATGTATAATACATAAGGGGGGATATGATCTCCATGTATAATACATAAGGGGGGATATGATCTCCATGTATAATACATAAGGGGGATATGATCTCCATGTATAATACATAAGGGGGGATATGATCTCCATGTATAATACATAAGGGGGATATGATCTCCATGTATAATACATAACGGGGATATGATCTCCATGTATAATACATAAGGGGGATATGATCTCCATGTATAATACATAAGGGGGGTATAATATATATGATCTCCATGTATAATACATAAGGGGGGGCATATGATCTCCATGTACCATGTATAATACATAAGGGGGGGATATGATCTCCATGTATAATACATAAGGGGGGATATGATCCATCCATGTATAATACATAAGGGGGGGATATGATCTCCATGTATAATACATAAGGGGGGATATGATCTCCATGTATAATACATAAGGGGGGATATGATCTCCATGTATAATACATAAGGGGGGATATGATCTCCATGTATAATACATCAGTGGTTCATATAGTGAACTCTGTGTAGTTCTTCCCCCTGTGGTCATCACAGAGGACAAGGGGGCACTCTTTACGTCATCTACAAACACGGAAAGGTTTCTTCACAGTAAGAGCTGTGAGAATGTGGAATAGACTCCCTCCAGAGTTGGGTGTGGCCAGCTCAGTGGGTTGCTGTAGGAAAGTCCTGGATTCTTTCTTGGATACACAGAATATAACTGGATAGAACATTTATAGAGAAAGTTGATCCAGGGAATATCCGATTGCCTCTCGGGGGGTCAGGAAGGAATTTTTTCCCAGCAGGAGCACATTGGATCGTGCTTTGCTGGGTTTTCTTTGCCTCCTCTGGATCAGCTCTGGGTGTAGGATTATAACTTTTTTTTTTTTTTTTTTTTTTTAAGGTTGAACTGGATGGACTTTTGTCTTTTTTCAGCCAGGCTATGTTACTATATCTGGAAGTGGAGAAAGGAACTTCTGTGTAACCAGTGGAGTGATAGAGACTTTTTTTTTAATTGATCTGGAAGACAAAGAGGGGTTCATGTATACAAACTAGAACTAGGAAATTGGCTAATTCTGCAGTTGTCCTTGCTTTTTGTCCCAAATGGCAAATCTTCTAAAACGGGAAGAGAAAGATATACTTTTCTAGAAGAATAATATATAGTTGAGGTGTTCAGTAGCCCAAAGAAAGTTGGAAACTTTGAACTGCTAAGAAAAACACCTTTTCTATGATAGTCCCAGCATCATGGATCAGCGTGTCCCTGTTCTACAGTATTGTCAGTGAACTCTGCAGACAAAGACAAATCTATAGTGTTCTCTGGAAAACGTCTGTACAGGATATTGAACTGTCACACAACATTATCTACTGACATGGGTATGAACCTAATGGGGGGATCAGAATGTCATCAGGAGCACAGAGAAAGCACAGGATGGTATACATGGCTGTGTTCTATGACAGGAGGTACCACTAACATAGGATCTGCTGCAACTGGCAGGAACCGAGCTTTTATCAAACTGGAATAAAGGAATGAAAGAGGATTGGTCGCTTTGGGTTGCATGTTCCTCTTGGCCTGGCTGAAAGTCTGTGTACAAGCAAAGCATGTTCTTCACTGCACACAATGTGAGGGTGCCCACAGGAGTGGAGCAGATGTCCACGGAAATCTTCCTTCACTTGCCTGCACAGCTGGCATCCACACTTGCCAACAAATGGCTTGTCACAGGCAGGAATTCCCCGGCTCTATTTGTGACCAGCTGCTGCCACTCACTGTCCATGACCCGGCACTTTTCAGCCACTTCGACATTCTTCACTTTTAGACAAAACATCTCACTCAGTAAACAAGATGCATTGCATCATATCAACCGCGTACAGTCTGAACATCCAGCTGAAAGTATGGCACTTACAATCCCAAGAACCAAAACCATACACTAGTCTATGTTCCCAGACTGACAAACCTAAAGTGAAGGCAAAAAGTATACTTTATGCATCAGAAACAACGGGGGTAAGAGAGTATCAAGCCGGAAATGTAGGAGAAGAGGGAACAAGGATGGAAAGAACAAGGGGGTCTATCCATTCCTCACCCATCCGCAGCGCTGTCAGCTGAGATTTATGTACACAGCTGCGCTGAAAGGTGGTTCCAAGGTCCACAGCGAGGGGTGTTCCCTAGACTGCTATGTACTCTGAGGTTTGATTACACATCAACCAGTACAACCATCTCTTCAAAAACACCTCACATCTATAACCAAATAAATAACAGACAACTTTAGCTGCATTTGTGATATTATATAGACATCATTGGAGGGTATAATAACAGTGCTGCTGGTTTTTCGGGGACTGAGATAGTGGTTAGCTGACTCCTGACTAAGAGGAAGAAAAGATATGGCCTGGAGTACCTGGCTTTGCCTCATGTGGTCAAGTAGGTGCCATCTGATTGCAGAATGGAGGTAATCTACAAGCTGGTGAGGATCTAATTCATTTCACAACGTCTAAGCTTTAGGTGAGCATTCATGGAACATCATTGTGGGGACAGGCAGGGGTCAAGGGAAATACCCAATGCTCCTAGTTATCCTGTCCCATTCATATTCCTGTGACCTGTTTGTTGTAAGTAGGGTGAAGGAACAAGTGCTACATGAAAAAGTCTTTACGGTCATTTCATTATTAATCTGAATGTTGCTTTTGGCTTCGGGGCTGCAAGCTCATGTATTCACTAGTCACATCTGTGTTATGGCCTTTTATGTGACACAGATAATACAAACACTGGGGCAATAGATGACAGTGGGGTATACTCCTAATGCTGCCAGCTCTCATTGTGACGGTAACCAAACTCCAAGTGACTGCACAAGTCCCAGTGTCAACATCAAGGTAATGTGATTGCAAATCTCCCCCCAATAACCACATTTCCTCTGCTATAAACCAAGATTTGGGTGTACATGGCCGCCGAGTCACTTAAGCAATCCTTTCTGCATGCAAATACTTGTTGAAAATCTTTAGTCAATTATCACTTTATAGTGACTTTGTATTTGTTGTGTTCCAATATTTTGCTGCCAAGTCCCAATATGTAGTGCCCAGCTGTTATCCATCAATGGATTTGTTTAGATTGTAATTTAGGCTCAGATCTCTTCACGTGAGGGATTATGATTCAGTGAGCATCAAACCAGCATGGTCCCAAACATGTTCAAAAGACCTGAGGCGAGTGGGTCAAAGCTGACCACATTGGATGTGGATTCTAAGTCTTCCCTGTGTCTATAGTCAGGATTTCTGCACAGATATGTCCATCTAACATCTACCTGTATTGATACTATTCATCCATGTAGCGGAGCATTCTGATGGTGACTTGGTCCTTTGGGAAAAGAGGAGACTTCAGGGAGTCAGCAGGATCACTCCATGATGATATAAACACATACAGCTCTAAATAGAATCATGACAATACATTAAAATCTGTGCAAACTGTATAGATGAATTCTTCTGGCCAGTCATATAAATATACACCATTTGTGTTTTCCAGCGTTCATGTCCTTGACCTTCGAACGGTCAATCACAGCTTCCCTTGGAGGACACGGATGTGGCTTTCTGCAAATGAACTCCTGAGAATTCCCATACAATCCTGAAGCTGAGATTATTTTTAATCTAGGCTCATTGGTGTCATCAATTGTTGCCCAAATCCACAAGGAAAAGGAATGTACTGCTGATATTTGTCTTGGTCTTGGAGGGATATCTCACTCAATCATTGCTGAATGTTAACAATAATGATCACATTCTCCACTGCCCCGTTGACTTTATTGGTCACATTCTTTCTGTGTGCTCACTTTAACCTCTGGCTTTCAAATGCTATCTTGGAAAACAAGACTTATAAAAAGCCCAACATCATCATCATTTTAGCAGATGACATGGGATGGGGAGATCTTGGTGCAAATAATGCCACAGAGACAGCAACAACTCCAAACCTAGAGAAAATGGCTTCAAAGGGATTAAGGTAGGTGTGCCCTACCTTCTTGTTCAGCCTGTAATGTTTCTTCAGATGAATGTAAGCTTTTAATGTAGAAAGCTGAAAGTTCTGATGACAAAACCCAGTCATCAGATAGTTACTCTACATTGGAATATGGTGTTTTCCCTAGATTAGTGGATTTCCATTCTGGAGCTTCCACCTGCTCACCATCCCGGGCCTCACTACTCACTGGAAGGCTGGGAATCCGTAACGGAGTTACACACAACTTTGCCGTAACCTCCTGTGGTGGTCTTCCCCTGAATGAGACAACACTGGCAGATGTCCTAAAGGAATCTGGTTATTACACCGGTCTCATTGGTATGTTGTCATTGCATGGATTGTTCCATGTGCTTTGGGGCCCTGAGCCAAATAGCTTTATCATATGCTTAATAACATAATAGCATGTCTTTAGCATGAGCAGTTCTACTGTATCTTCCATGGGAGTGGTGATCTCTACCTTGTACAGGAATAAGTCACATGCTCAATGTTTTCACGTTTTCTGTGTGTACAATCAACATTTCCCAGCACTAAAAATCCAGTTGTTATTTTTCAGGTAAATGGCATTTAGGTCACCATGGGCCCTATCATCCAAACTCACGGGGTAAGCACCTTCTTCTTGATTTATAGGAAGTATTCATTTATCCTACTTGAGGTTTGTCCAGTGCAGGAAAATGCCTCTCATGCAGCCAGGTAACTGCATCTGGGTTGGGGCCACAGCACCTTCTGCATACAAAAGGGTTGTGATGATCTCTTCCTGGGATTTTCAGAAGGATCCACTTTGTCCAGTTGCAGCACAAAAGCATTATATAGAGCTAAATGAAATAAATATACAGACATGTGTTTGTACCAGTATCTGGCTTTACAGGAAACAAAGTCCAGCTTCATCATCTGGTCACTGAAGTCCACCCCTCCCATGTTAAGGTTCTGGTCATGAACACAGAGGGGCTTCTCAACAAAAGCAGCTGCCATGGAAATTTGGATGGTTGTGTCTGCGTGAATGGAAGACAGGATGAAAACATCCCATTTGTCCTTCCACTCACTGCGATCAATTCAACATTTTTCAAGGCTTTCTCCCCCTTCCAAAGATGGGAATTTACAAGCCGTTGGGGAAGCCCCGGCAATTAGGTTGCACGGTGTCACATATGCCAATTCTAAGATTGTACCAATGTCTACATTGTGGCACGCTTGAATAAAAATTGGCCACGTATAAGTGGTAACCCAAATGGAAAAAGGGTGACACCAAGTCCCAAACTATCTGCCACCGATGTAGTCAGAGCATCTGGGAAGGGGGGGGGGGGGGGGGGGGGTGGGGGTGTGTGACTATTGTTTCCTTTGTAAATCTGAAAGTACATGTAAAGCCTGTTGCCCTCTTGGTGGCAATAAATTATTGTGTGTATAAATTGCTTTGATCCACAATCCATACAAATCTTCTGTGAAAAACCGATCCAAGGGAAAAAAAAAAAAAAATCAAGGGAGAAAGTTACATTTGCTGTTTCTACCAAAATTTTGGGTTGGGTAGTGAACGGGGGGGGCGTTTGGGGGAGTACAGGTGCTGCAGAATTTGTGGGCTGCCAATCGGAATTTGCAAGCACATCCGGAAGGATACTAGGGGCTCTAGGGGCCTGTGTGTGTGAATTGTTGGTGGTTGCGGGACACTACTTGTGCTCTCCACCGCACCAGCTTGTACTGCACTTATGGGACTCGCCACGTCACCAAGTGATACTGCAGTGCTGGAATGTGAAAGACCAGGATGTACTAGGCCGCTGGTGCTCGCCAGTTCACCAAAAGGTAGAGTGGCACTCAGGGATCAGGGGATTGTGACCTAGCTGTGCTTTTATTGTAAAAGTGTAGTGTTTGACCCATGGATCTGCTTTCTTTCTCTGGGACTGAATGTGCTCCCGGGAGAGAAGATTGTGTCATTTCCTCTGCAATGTAAACACAGGCACAGGCTAAGCTCTGATTGGGTACACCTGATCAGCAGGTTCAGGACAAACATCATTGGCCTGTAGGTATACCGAATCACAACACTGCTGGGCCAGCGGGTGGCATGTGCCCCGTGTCCTCAAACGGGAGTGTAGATCACCTATTTACAGGATTTCGCACAGGGAGTCCGCTCTGTTGCAGTAAAACTGCTATACAGCAGATACTAACTGCTTAAACTAATTCATGATACTTTTGAGAATTAAGAATTTTCCTTTAGCTGGCAATAAGAGTCAAAAGATTTGGAATCTAAATCTGGGAGCAGACCCATGCACCCCTGATGTGAGGAGTTCTCTGGAATCCTCCAGCAGCATGGTTCACAGAACACACATGATGAGGTTCGGTAGTAGCTCACCTATTGCTTGGATTTGGATCATTCTAGAAGTGGTTCTGCTTCTTTCTATACACTCACGAATAGAACGTATAATCTCTTTCCTGCTGACACCTAATACTTACATCCAGGGAGTTGGGAGGTGTACAGACACTACAATTTGTCAGGGCACCTTACAAACGCATGTTGCCATCGATACCTGTGAGATGACTAATGGCTCCTTACCCCAGTATGGGGCAGCACTGTGCACTGATCTCCTAAGGCTCCATCCTGAAGAAGGTTCTATATTGCTGCACCCAGTTATCACATGTGAGGGAAGGACACCAGTGAGGTCCCTGTCCCTGGCTGACATTTCTGCTTCCTCTTCTCAGGCTTTCACTTCTACTATGGAATCCCATACAGTAACGACATGGGCTGCTCAGACACAGCCGGGTACAACCTTCCACCCTGCCCACCTTGTCCTTGGAGCCTGCAAGAGACACGATACAGGTAATATATAGTGACTGTGTCTTCCCTCTTCTCAGTGTCATATATGATGATTGCACATGGAAGAGTCAGTCCAAAGCTCATGTCACCCAACACATTGCCTGTCTGGATGTCAGTACCAAGTAATATAGGAACAGTGAGAACAGCAAACATTGTCTTCTACAAATAGCTGCGTGTGCGTGTACAATGCTACCTGCTCTCCATCCTTCCACATAACATACAGAAAAGCTGCACTTACCTGCCTTCATGTCTGAAGCCACTGATGGAGCACATAATCTAAAGGTGCTGAATAAATATATCCCAGGTGGGAATGTTCCAGAGAGAACACAGGATGAGGAACACAGAGACATGACCTCACACTGCGGGAGGAAAGTACTAAACTAACTGTAGATAGTATGACTTTACAGAAATAGTAGTTGATGTTTGGAGTCAGTCAACAGCAAGTGGCTTCCAACATGCTGGGAACCAACATAGTTCTATACTCAAAATTAACCAAGAAAAAGGAAGGGAAATACAATACATGTGGAATGGATGGACCGCTTGGTCTTTATTCTGCCATCACTTTTCAGTTTCTATGTGTAAGTGTCACGTACCTGATAGAAGTCTGAATTGTCTCTTGTATCTCCAACCCAAGCCCCACTGAAGGTGAAACAGATGGTGCCGAGGGACAGGAGGAACACGAGTGCCTGTGGATATGGATTGTGGAACTTGCAGCTGGTGATGTAACCTCGGTAAATCAGATAGGGCATCCAGTCAGGAACAGAGGAGATGCCAGAACGGCAAGCTGAAGTTAAGGAGGCACTCCACTGGAACTGCAAGATCTGGGCACGTGGCTTGCTGGAACTTCTGATAAGCGTGAGGCCAGAACACACCATGACAACCAGAGCTGATGTAATGACAGCCAGGACAGGCACTCGGCAGGACTGTAGAGCCAAACTGGAGCCGGAAGCGTAGTCAGAGTAATAGCCAGGGTCAGCAACGAGCAGGCGATGAGGTACCGGAACATAAGACAGGGACGAGGTCAGGAGGAAGCCAGGATCAGAAACCGATCAGCAGAAGCATAAACAGGATCCAAGAGCAGGTCGATGGGAAGCCGGGTCAGCAACTGATACACACCGGATACAGCAGGAAGTTAGCTGAAGAACAGTCAGCACGGACTGGGAGTCAGAGCCTCCTTTAAATAGTTTGTCTGGCACCAGAAACAGTGGGCACGCTCCCGCGTGTGTGCACCTCTGTGCGCCCATGTTTGCGCACATACGCGAGCCTATGCTCATTTCTATTAGCCAGTTGCCATACAGGAATTCTCTTGCAGTAAGATTACATGGTGAGGAGAACTATGTTCATATGATTTTGGCCTCTGGAAGATCAGAAGGTTAAGAGAACATGGGTCATGTGATGACTTCTGTTTCCTGCAATACTACAACCACTATTCTTATTACAATGACACCAACGATCAGACATTCCTTTCACTAACACCATCTATGGGACCCCATTGTTCTCAATGACACTAACAACCAGGCACCATTCTGCCCACTGACACCATGATCAGGCACCACTCTGCCCACTGACACCATGATCAGGCACCATTCTGCCCACTGACACCATGATCAGGCACCATTCTGCCCACTGACACCATGATCAGGCACCATTCTGCCCACTGACACCATGATCCGGCACCATTCTGCCCACTGACACCATGATCCGGCACCATTCTGCCCACTGACACCATGATCAGGCACCATTCTGCCCACTGACACCATGATCCGGCACCATTCTGCCCACTGACACCATGATCCGGCACCATTCTGCCCACTGACACCATGATCCGGCACCATTCTGCCCACTGACACCATGATCAGGCACCATTCTGCCCACTGACACCATGATCAGGCACCACTCTGCCCACTGACACCATGATCAGGCACCATTCTGCCCACTGACACCATGATCAGGCACCATTCTGCCCACTGACACCATGATCAGGCACCATTCTGCCCACTGACACCATGATCAGGCACCATTCTGCCCACTGACACCATGATCAGGCACCATTCTGCACAAAGACATCACCTTTAAGATATCATTCTTTTCACTGACTCCAATGAATTTGTACCATACCTCACCAACAATGAGGCTTTATTCTTCCTAATGATACCCTATGTGGGTTGTACGAAGAGTGTAAGCTCCTCTGGCACAGAGATGGATGTGACTGGCTCAGTGTTCTCTTTATAGCGCTGCGGTATATGTCAGAGCTATATAAATGTATAATAATGAAGTGAGAGATGACAGTAAGAATATGTGGAGTTGGAGTGGATACAGTCCGGGACAGAATATGAGATATATTCAGTTAAATGTTTGTTTTTGCAGGTCTGTGGGTGGATGTAACACAAAGCTGGGATTACCACTGATGGAAAACTCTCGGATTTTGGATCAGCCGGTGGATTTAAACAGCTTGGCCAGCAGATATGCAGACAGGGCCACGGAGTTCATCAGAGATGCCAAGTCAGTGATTACTGCATTACTAGCAAATACAGAGCAAATGCGGGGTCCGGGGGGAGAGCGGATACAGCGAATGCGGGGTCCGGGGGGAGAGCGGATACAGCGAGTGCGGGGGTCCGGGGGGAGAGCGGATACAGCGAGTGCGGGGTCCGGGGTCCGGGGGGAGAGCGGATACAGCGAGTGCGGGGTCCGGGGGGAGAGCGGATACAGCGAGTGCGGGGTCCGGGGGGAGAGCGGATACAGCGAGTGCGGGGTCCGGGGGAGAGCGGATACAGCGAGTGCGGGGTCCGGGGGGAGAGCGGATACAGCGAGTGCGGGGTCCGGGGGGAGAGCGGATACAGCGAGTGCGGGGTCCGGGGGAGAGCGGATACAGCGAGTGCGGGGTCCGGGGGGGGAGCGGATATAGCAAATGCGGGGTCCAGGGGGGAGAGCAGATACAGCAAATGCGGGGTCCGGGGGGAGAGCGGATACAGCGAATGCGGGGTCCGGGGGGAGAGCGGATACAGCGAATGCGGGGTCCGGGGGGAGAGCGGATACAGCGAATGCGGGGTCCGGGGGGAGAGCGGATACAGCGAATGCGGGGTCCGGGGGGAGAGCGGATACAGCGAATGCGGGGTCCGGGGGGAGCGGATACAAAGAATGCGGGGTCCGGGGGGAGCGGATATAGCGAATGCGGGGTCCGGGGAGAGCGGATACAGCGAATGCGGGGTACAGGGTTTAGTAATACTAATTTAGGCCCACTGTGTCTCCAGCGAACCAGGTGAAGTATCAGAATAATGGGGCCTTCATCTGACTCACAATGACAAACTCAAGAACCAGCAATAAGAGTGCCCTCTTAGGTCTACTTTCCTCTCTGTCTAGGGCTCGGGGGATGTCGTACTTCCTGTATGTGGCCCTTGCACATATGCACGTTCCCCTGGCAGTCGGTCCTACCAGGACACCATACAAGGACAGCATGCAGGAGATGGACTGGCTGATCGGACAGATAATAGACAATGTTGACCACAACACTCTGGTCTGGTTTACAGGTACTAAAGAAAGACCAGGTCCTCCTCCCATGTCACTAGCCATGTAATACAGCTCTATTCCTGTTCCCCAGGTGACAACGGACCCTGGGCGGAGAAGTGTGACCTTGCAGGAAGTACAGGACCGTATACAGGAGCATGGCAAACAGCACACGGTAATGAAGACAAACTAAGAGCAAAAACAGAAGATAGTGATAGGCCTGCAGTAGGTGAAGAGAGATTTTATGGGTGACGGCAACACATGTTCCTATATATCTGCTGGGAGAGTGATAGGCCTTCAATAGGTGGAGATGTACCATGGCACCGATAAGATCCCAAGTAGACAACCTGCTCCACCAAACTGAAAGATATAATGTGGTGAAAGCCACAGATGGTCCAAAGAATCTGCAAGGACAGACATAAGCCCCAGTGACACAATCTCAGGCTGAAGCAACACTCTGGACTGGTGTTTTCATTAGATCTATGGGGGCAGGTTCTAGAAGCCCATGGTGGTCTACCATCACATACAAATATAAGATAAGAACCACCCTTAAGACTCTGATATTCTGAGGTACTTTATTGGTTCATCCATAATGGACATCCAGTCATAGAATCTAGTATCAGGCATCCTTTTCATAAAGCCACATGGTGGTGAAAGCCATAAGGAGTAGTTGGTTTCTCTGGGTGGAGATACTATGGCTGTAGATCTATTACAGATAATCACATGAAGTAACTGAGTAGAGCACAATTTGGAGTGCAGTTCTTATCCTTTTACATTCAATATATGACAGATTGCACTTCATGCAAAGTCTTCTCATCCCAGGTGGTAGCGCAGCAAAACAGACAACATGGGAAGGTGGCCATCGTGTCCCCACCATTGTGTACTGGCCAGAGGTGGTTCCAGAAAACAGGACAAGCTCTGCCCTGCTGAGGTAAGTGAAGGCTCCAGGATCACCCTTATCTAATTCCAAACACCCAGCAGAACCTGCAAGTATGTGGGTCTAAATATCTCTCCAGCAAGGAAACTATTTCAGGTGTAAGGAGCAGTGTGCTGACTAGAAGAGTCATAGTGGAACTCTAGCCAAACACAAAAGGCCTGAGCAGAGGATCCCACCACAATACACTACTGCAGCCCCGGGTTACCTGCTTCTGGTGGAATAAACAAGTAGTGTACTGAGATGACTCAGCTGTAAAGTGTTCATGTCGGTTTGTATCCCGACACCATTTGTCACCTATGCCGACACAACTGCATCACAACATATCTGACACAAACCATGGATCTCACAGAGGTGTAGAATGTAGAAAGTCATGTGTCTTCTAGCTCCAGCACAGGCGACAATGGAACCCGGGTGAGGGAGGAACTACACTCAGCAAAAGTATCTGAAAACGTTTTATCTGATCTGGAACATGCTTGAACTGAACCTTCCAGAACTGAGTGATTTGGAACATAGACTTTGAACCATGTCCTCAGTTACTGAATAAATATCACCCCAGCACATAATGACCACAGCCAGCTCCACCACAATCAATAGAAAGTGTTCCCATTCACATCACAGCTCCCAGTATTTGAGAATCCAATATCCTATTGTCATCATTGTCCATGATAATCATGGTTGGGACTTGAATCAGCAACCCTAGTACTGCCAGGTGACAGTGCTAACCACCTCGCCACTGTGCTGCCCCTAATAATGGAGTGCCTGAAGGTCAGAATAATGGCAGTGAGAGCTGATTGGCCACTGATGACAGACATATGCTGCCTCAGTCATTATTGATTACGGGAAGCTTCTTACCTGACAACCCATTTAGTGGCTCCTCTCCATGAGTCAGCTAAGGTCACATAATAGGTTGATGATGCCTACTGGGAAATTGTAGTCAAACTGTTCCGCCATATGTTCTATAAAACATCTGTCTCTGTGTGGGACTAACAATGCATCTTCCACAATGAGAAATGTCCTGGCTCTTTTTCTTCTAGCATGCTGGACATTTTCCCCACAATAGTAAGTCTGGCAAATGGCACTCTTCCAGCCAATCGGCAGTTTGACGGTATAGACATCTCTGCGATCCTCTGTGGAAGGGCACAAACAGGACACCAGGTAGGTGCTGGCAGTATGGGAGGCAGATTCTGGGAACATTGGATGAGGTCAGTGAGTCTCTGAAAGTCAGAGATGACGCACATCAGCCACGGGGCCACAGAGTGTCTCATCTCTCCTGCTGCTTCAGGTTATAGATAGATCACAGGCATCAAACACTCCATGAGCTCAGCTTTCTTTGAAGATCTCTCAGCCAGACATAGAGCATGGGGTTCAGTCTGTATTCCTTGGACGCCTCAAATGGCACCTGCAGATGAAGCCAGGCCTTTTAGCTGAGCCCAGTCATCGAAATCATAAACTTGGTCCAGTCAAAACTGCTGGGTGATCTGATGTAATCCCCATCATGTGTCAGTCACTGTATACAAATGTGCAAACATATGACAACCAATCAGATGCAGACTATAGGTGGCATACATTTTCAGGCTGGAGTCCCTATGATCTGCAATGATCAGCAGCTAGTGGCTTGTCTCAAATTTGGCATCAGCTGTCAGTGCTGCTCTGCAGGATATAAAATGTGGCAGGAAAACTCTCTCATATAAATGATATTTGTGATTTTCTTCTGTAGATCCTTTATCATCCCAACAGCGGAGCAGGAGGGCAGTATGGAGACATAGAAGCAATTCGGTTGGGTCCATACAAGGCTTTTTATACCACAGGTATGGTTTAGAATAGAGTAAAAGGAAAAACCTTGTCTCACTTTTGATAGAGTAATGGTTAGAACCCATCAGGTCCCCCCCCTCCACTTGTCTCAAAAGGGGAAATTTCCTTCATTTTCTGTCCCTTAGCCACAACAGGAAGTGTGAAACAGTCCTCCAAAGACAGGGAAGATGTGGTTGTCACCAGAACTAGTGTCCCCATTAGAAGTGCTTCCCTCTTTTTCAGATTAGGGGACACCTCACAATTATGAACGTTCTTTAAGTTTAAATTGTAAACACGAGAGAGAGCGAGAGAGAGAGACTCTCCCTAACAGGGATACAGACAGCAATTAAAGCTCGACAGGTTCTCCACTCCATCCATAATGGGGGGGGGGGGGGGTTTAGCCATACCAAAGGGTGGGTTTTACTAATGCCATTGTTGTCCTCACCATAAAACCCTTTTCTTAGCATCCTTCGAGAGACACAGGATTCTTTATCCATTGGGAGATTTTGCCGTCTGCAGCAGTATTGGACACTAAAAGTAAACACATCAAATTGGAAGCCGGAACGATAATCTCTCCCACAACCAGCATGCTGTCTGTAGCATGCAGTACCATGAGCAATGGCCATAAGCAACAAACACAAAAATCCCATTTTCCCCATCATCCATTGAGGGGTACAGGATTCTTATAGGCAAATAACACAGCAACACAGTCCAAAGAGTCTAACAAGGAAAAAGAATTGTTGTCAACTCACAAAGCCAGCTGCAACACTTTACTGCCAAAGCTAGCACTGGCTGAGAATGAGACATTTATCTGGTAAAAAACTTAGACCATGTGCCAGCCGTAAAAACCTGGGAAATGTGCAAGAAGTACTTTAGATCCTTTGGACCAAAGGCTTGAATAACAGTCTGGTTCTGCAATCCATTGACCGATTCACTGGTGGATTCATCAGACAGCACAGATCTGAGGCTGGAGTGTCAGCAGTTTTTCTGCAAGAGATAAACACAAGTGTCAGAGAGGTGTCAGAGAGCTGTCCAAGACCTGCCCCAGAGACCCCAGATGATGGGTTGAAACCAATAACACCTTCTGCAGGATCTGGGCAGCTCCACAGTCTTGCAAAGCTTTTATAGTAATTGACATGTTGTCCTCCAAGGCCACCTGAGGGTCTTGGAAATGCAACAAAGCCAGGAGTGGAGGCAGCACCTTGTTGAACAAAAAGGTATAGAAGAGAATCTTAAAAAAAAAGGCTACAAATCGGGAACTCCATCCAAAACTTGTGGCTGTGAATGAACACATTGAGGGCCTTACTGTCCAGGATAGAACAGATACCCCCACAAAGGGCATATAGAGAAAGGCCTTTTGGAAGCCTGTCCCACCATCCATGCTAGTGTTAAGCAAATGATTGGTATCCAACAACACATAAAACATAGAATTCAACATAAGAACCATCTGGTTTTTAACATCCACCAGCTGATGCTCATCTGCCAAATCTTGTTGGTAGGATTTGGACCAATTGTTGAGAGTCTAGGCCACTAATGCTAGAATTGCTAATGCATTGCAGAACCAGAGAGTATAAATATAGATTAGGACTAGGCCTCAAAATATTTGTCCACGGGATCCCTTAAATAAGGAGCACCAATGAGGTCTAAGTGAGAACAGTCTTTTAGGGTCTTAGCAGACCTTATAGATGAACTCATCAAATAAAGGGTGCTGAAGAAGATATGAACAAACCACTGGGGCTTATTGGAGCCAAGGCCATGCACTGAGGTAGCAGAATAAACAGGTTAATTCTCCAACTTCAGAATTATACCAATGACATCAATTAGAGAGAAAAACTTTTCTTCTACCTGGAGTTAGTTTTCTCAGGTAAAAGCAAGGAAGTGGGTTTGCTATCACTAATGCCTTGTTCAAACAACAGGTGGGTAGTAAGAAGTGGACACAAGCCTCTGCTCCATTCGGCCCACAGATGTCCACTCAGCTTCCTGACAAATAGAGGGCAGGCTCAAAATATATGCATTCTTGAACCCTGCAAAGGACCTCAGCATCACTTTGCTAGGCACTACCACTCATGCTGCTGCTGGTGGGAAAACAAGATTTGAATGCTCATAAACAGAGAGCACCAGAAAAATTATCACACAATTCACCCTATAGCCCAAAAAAATGAAGGGAACTCCTGACAGGGTGTCTGGCCTGCACTGCCCACTAGCAAAGCAAGCGTTTGAAGACTGGGTCATAGTGCCAAACCAGAAGTGACAGCTCAGCAAGACCTAAAAGGTACTTTGAAGCACACTTCCAGGCTCACCCTACATAGACACTGAACTGGGTGTTGCAGTGACAGCCACAAGTGCAACACCTAGGAACAACTGTGCTCACAGGATACCCCCAAACTAGGTAGGCCTAGTCCAAAGCCACCAAGAAATCAACAAGAGGGACTTGAATGACCATCTGTCTCTTAGCTCTGTGTATCTCTTTTTAAGAACACTAGCAAAAACTGAAGCATGCTGGTCATGGGAGGGGTCTCCAGTTTTATTCCTTGTAGTGTTGGTTCTTCCACAACGTGGCAGGATAACCCAGATATGAATCATGTGTTCCTCCATGGGTGATAGAGAGCTAAACATATGGAAATCAATCCCATAACACCTGTACGGCACCAATGGCAGAGTTCTTTGGCCAGACAGCTACATTTTTACAGACTGCTGCTAACCAACAGCTATTCACCTCCCCCCCCCTTCACTGAGAAAAACCAGCAACAACATATATTATTAGGAAAATGGCTGGTCCTCAGGGATTTCATATATTCTGTGGTATCTAATAATTGTATCAGATCCATGGCCAACCCTCAGAGACGTACTGCTTGTGATTGTCATACACTGAATGTATTCTAGGTGGAGCATTGAGCTGTGATGGGAAGATCGGACCTGAGCGACATCATAACCCTCCTTTAGTTTTTAACATTGAGCGTGATCCACAGGAAGAGACACCCCTGGAGACAAGCAGCAAAGAGTTTCAGCAAGTGCTGCCAATGATCAAGGAAGCCATTTCTGCAATTCACCAAAATGTCCGCAAAGACAATGTGTCCACAGCTGACTATTCCCAGGACAGGTCTGCCATATTGTGCTGTAACCCCCAGCATATTGTGTGCCGCTGTACAGAGCCATGAACAAGGTTCACCACCTTCTACTTCCTGCTGTGTAATTTAACAGAGATCTTCTCTAGAATATCATTTGATCACCCGTGAGGAAACCAGCAGAATGTTCCACCTCTAGAACTTCAGATGTTCAGCACAGCAGAGAATCCTGGAAGGGGGTTCATCATCCTGAGTGCTGGAACAAGGTATGCACATCATCACTACACATCTCCAGGAGTCCGGACAAGTTCTCTACATCAGCCTTCTTCAACCAGGGGGCCCAGGCACCCTGGGGTGACTTGAGGTTTCTTGAGGGGTTACTTGGCAAAATGTCTAAAATTGCCCAAAATGTGTATACAAGACAGCGGGTGGCACAAGACAGCCTTTTAGTTACACAAAGCCACAGGTTTTCATTGTGCACCATTAGGACCTTCAAGCCGCCGGTATCCTGACCACCAAGGGCATCATCAGTTGTAAGTAGGATGTCAGCTGCCTGCACAGCATCCTAGTTTGACCCTCCGTGCCCCCTCTATCAGTGCTGGGGTTGTATCAGCTCAGTGATGGAGAAATACCCAGAGAGAAGGGAAACACTAGAATATTAGTCAGTACCAGTGTGAAAAAGTGTATTTACTTTGGAAGAATAAATCCCTTCTAGTGTTGGGCGTCCTATGTGTGTGGATGTTGCTGTGTTATAGAAAACTATCAGGAGTAGTGTTTTTTTGTTTTTGTTTTTTTACACATTTTGAATGGGGTGCCTCAAGATTGTCCATAATTTTAGAGGGTCCCTTGCCTAAAAAAAGATTGAGAACTACTAATCTACATTATCAGTGTGCATCCCTTAGGTCACAGGACCAGGTAGGTACAGCATTAAAAAAAAAAAAAAGAAAAAAAAAAAAGTGTTCTCCTCGTGCACAAACATGGTATGGTAGGACAGGTATGATCATCATTAATGCTGTGCCTTCTAGTCCTGGGACATGGAAGGCACATCGTTATTGTCCACCATCCTGGTCCTAGGACACAGAAATCATGCAGTCATGGTCCATCCTCCTGGTGCCGGTACAAGGCAGACACGTCATCACTGTCCATCCTCCCGGTCCCGGGACAAGGCAGGTCATCACTGTCCATCCTCCCGGTCCCGGGACAAGGCAGGTCATCACTGTCCATCCTCCCGGTCCCGGGACAAGGCAGACACGTCATCACTGTCCATCCTCCCGGTCCCGGGACAAGGCAGGCACGTCATCACTGTCCATCCTCCCGGTCCCGGGACAAGGCAGGCACGTCATCACTGTCCATCCTCCCGGTCCCGGGACAAGGCAGGCACGTCATCACTGTCCATCCTCCCGGTCCCGGGACAAGGCAGGTCATCACTGTCCATCCTCCCGGTCCCGGGACAAGGCAGGTCATCACTGTCCATCCTCCCGGTCCCGGGACAAGGCAGGCACGTCATCACTGTCCATCCTCCTGGTCCCGGGACAAGGCAGGTCATCACTGTCCATCCTCCCGGTCCCGGGACAAGGCAGCAGGCACGTCATCACTGTCCATCCTCCCGGTCCCGGGACAAGGCAGGCACGTAATCACTGTCCATCCTCCCGGTCCCGGGACAAGGCAGGCACGTAATCACTGTCCACCCTCCTAGTCCTGGAACATGGAAGGCTCATGGGAGAGGCAGAGATAAACACTATTACAGGGAAATCTCCCCATTGTGGGAGGGGAAGATACACAAACTACGGTGGGGGGGAATCTTACCATTGTGGGAGGGACTGGATATTTTTGTACTTACTGCCAACTATCTCTCAGCATTCTTAGAGTCATACACAGGAAAATTGGACATAAGTAGACAATTGTGACTGGCCCAATATTACCTATCCTACTTGCACCATGCCTCAGTCCTGTGGTGAAGCAGTGCCCATAATATAGTCCTAGACACGCAGGGGTGGGACCTGTATCCATCAATGAATTCCAACAAATGGATTTTACAAGATCCCATATTCATTCTTGTTGATTGAGAAAGACAGGAATTCAGTGAAGATCAATATGTCCAAAAACAGTCCAACTGAGGGCTGGGCAACAGCAACAAAACACGAATAGGCCCACAGAAAAACAACTGAAACTGGGCACTGCCTGCAGCACAGGGAGACTGCAAGTGCAGAGACATTGACCTTCGATGGTGCTATAGGCCACATGCTGGTTCAGGCCTATTAAAAGTCCAGGATTTGTCCCACAGAATTTCCCAAGAGGGAAAAAAAAAAAAAAAAACTCTTCTAGGAATGTAGACTAAGGTTTTACCATCAATTTAGAATTGCCTCCATCCCTCAGAACCTGGGCTTCAAAAGCAATACCGTAGGACAAGGAGCCTTGCAGCAGGGTGACAGATTGGTCCTTGAGATATAAAAAAAAAAATTTGGAAGACCAAATGAGAGTCTGCCAAGAGTCAGAGTACCATACGTGCCTGGGCCAGACAGGATCACCGCAATGTCCTTCATCTGAATGTAGAGCAGTGGTTCTCAACCTTTCTAATGCCGCGACCCCTTAATACAGTTCCTCATGTTGTGGTGACCCCCAACCATAAAATTATTTTCGTTGCTACTTCATAACTGTAATTTTGCAGTGGGAGGAGTAGTGCCATGTCATTGGTGTCAGCGGGAGGAATAGTGCCCCATCGTTGGCGTCAGTGGGGGGAGGAATAGTGCCCCATCGTTGGCGTCAGTGGGGGGAGGAATAGTGCCCCATCGTTGGCGTCAGTGGGGGGGAGGAATAGTGCCCCATCGTTGGCGTCAGTGGGGGGAGGAATAGTGCCCCATCGTTGGCGTCAGTGGGGGGAGGAATAGTGCCCCATCGTTGGCGTCAGTGGGGGGAGGAATAGTGCCCCATCGTTGCCCCCATCGTTGGCGTCAGTGGGGGGAGGAAATAGTGCCCCATCGTTGGCGTCAGTGGGGGGAGGAATAGTGCCCCATCGTTGGCGTCAGTGGGGGGAGGAATAGTGCCCCATCGTCAGTGGGGGGAGGAATAGTGCCCCATCGTTGGCAGTGGGGGGAGGAATAGTGCCCCATCGTTGGCGTCAGTGGGGGGAGGAATAGGAATAGTGCCCCATCGTTGGCGTCAGTGGGGGGAGGAATAGTGCCCCATCGTTGGCGTCAGTGGGGGAGGGGGGGGAGGGAAATAGTGCCCCATCGTTGGCGTCAGTGGGGGGAGGAATAGTGCCCCCATCGTTGGGTCAGTGGGGGAGGAATTGGCGTCAGTGGGGGGAGGAATAGTGCCCCATCGTTGGCGTCAGTGGGGGGAGGAATAGTGCCCATCGTTGGCGTCAGTGGGGGGAGGAATAGTGCCCCATCGTTGGCGTCAGTGGGGGGAGTGGAATAGTGCCCCCATCATTTGGTATTAGTGACACCAATGATGGGGCACTATTCCCACTGACACCAATGATACTTACCTTGCTGACCCCTGCTCCAGCCTGGGCTCGCTCGCTCCCTCCCTCTCCCATGGTACAGACACTTACCGGTCAGATGTCTTCCTTCTCCGGCCGCTCTCCTCTTCTTCACTCGCTCGATCTTCGCGGGGCCGCTCGGCTCCTCCTTTCCAAGCTCCACCTCCTCGCCGGTGATTGGCCGCCTGTGTGCCTCTCCTGAGCTACAGTTCCGGCGGCCAATCACCGACGAGGAAGGATTGATCCCGGGGGTGTGTCCAGATGACAGGGACGGCATGTCATCCCGCCCACACCTGGAGACGGATCAAGGAGCGGTGTCTCGGTTCCTAAGGCCATCGGAAATATGTGTTTTCCGATGGTCTTAGGGGACCCCTGGGAAAGTGTTGTTCGACCCCCAAAGGGGTCGCGACCCCCAGGTTGAGAACCGCTGATGTAGAGGATGGAGTTTTAGGAGAGGAAAAGCATAGATCAGATTCCATGGAGCCATCAGAGCACCCACTGCTTCCTCTAGAGAATTCCTTTACGTGAAGATAACTCTGTCCAGTCTATTGTTGAACCTTGAGGTCAGTAGGTCCATGTCCAGCAACCCTCATATGTGACAGATTGTAGAACACCTCCCCAGGGTCCAGGTGCTGAGACTGGACTCAGCACTGGTAAGAGCTACAGACTAATGTTCAAGTTTTTAAAAGTGGTGCCCAACAGATCATTAATGACCAACACAGTCTCCATAAATGTGCAAGGGATAGCAGAAGACCGCACCTCCTGTGTAGGCTCCTCTATTGTGGATTTAAGGGGCAGAGACTTTATGGATCAGGGCTCAGAGGAGAAGGCTGCAAGCAGATTAGAGAAGGATTCTGCAGGGGAAGGTGTGGAAAGTAAGGCCTTTGTGGTCAAATCCTGCAGGACTGCTGTGAAATCTTCCCAGGATAGGACGGAAGAGGCCACCATGCTGGACGGGGCTGGGGAAGAATCAGATGAGGGTATAGACTGCAGCACAAGGCAAAATTACAGTCCATCTATGTCAGGCACCACATGAAGTTTTAATGGACTTTGAGCTGGGGATACCAGCTGAACCCTCCTGTCTATGGTTAAGATGAGTTGCATTGTAGGGAGTGTACCTGTCTGCTGGGTATTGATAGGGTCAGGGGGTCCAAGGTCACTGTAGGTGGGTAGTAGAGACTTACTGAGTGTCATTATATACTTTGGAGAAGGTGCTTCCTCAGCGCTGAATGGTGGATAAAGTGCACAACACACTATTCAGCAGACGTGACCACACGATCCCTCAGCATTAACCACTTCTGCTTCTATTCATCAGAATGTGGGATCTTTAATTAGGGCCCACAGAACCAAATAAAGAGGCAACTCCCAGTGCACGCCCCCTATAGCCTTCTCAGACAGGGCCACACCTGGCCACATCTGGGGCTCTGCCACGCCTCTGGACCTCTGCGGCTAAACACTGGAGGGCACCCCAACACAGAGCCCAGTACACACACGTGCCAGGTGCCCCCCACAATCACTCAGTCCATGGGGACTGGATATGACCTTCAAAATGATTACTGCAGATACACCAATCTGGAGTCTGTGCAAGGAGAGAGCGGCTCGGCAGCATGTAGAAGGGATTTGGACTTGGGGGGAAAAAGCAAGCAGAAATTGTTGGATTTCAAAGCCATTTATCCCCCATAGAGGACACTAGCAAAAACTGAGTCATGCTGGGAGTAGGAGGAGTTACACGGGGTTTGTTTGCCAGTGTCCAATCCTCCTTAAAGTAGGAGTAATACCCGGCAGACTTCCCGTGTTCCTCGATGGGGGAGGGGCAGAGACACACTATACAGATCTGCAATGCTTTCCTCTGAATGAAGGCGGGCGGAGCCATTTGATGGGGGAGGGGCAGACACACACTATACAGATCTGCAATGCTTTCCTCTGAATGAAGGCGGGCGGAGCCATTTGATGGGGGAGGGGCAGATACACACTATACAGATCTGCAATGCTTTCCTCTGAATGAAGGCGGGCGGAGCCATTCGATGGGGGAGGGGCAGAGACACAAACTATACAGATCTGCAATGCTTTCCTCTGAATGAAGGCGGGCGGAGCCATTTGATGGGGGAGGGGCAGAGACACACTATACAGATCTGCAATGCTTTCCTCTGAATGAAGGCGGGCGGAGCCATTCGATGGGGGAGGGGCAGAGACACAAACTATACAGATCTGCAATGCTTTCCTCTGAATGAAGGCGGGCGGAGCCATTTGATGGGGGAGGGGCAGAGACACACTATACAGATCTGCAATGTTTTCCTCTGAATGAAGGCTGGTGGAGCCATTCTGTTGTTAGGGATTCACAAGGCCATACATTGCAGAGTTTTATTTCGGTTTCAGATTGCTTGTAGATTAGTATATGAAGAAGATTTCTATATGAATGTTACACATACAAAGCATAAATTAGGACATGTGACTATAGAATGATACAGAATATTCACTGGAAATATCTTACAATAGTAAACATCCTCCACATTAGTCTCACTCCCACACCTGCGATTTGGCTTGTCCTTGTCTGGTCACGGCCCGGCGTCTCTCTGACCTCTGCGACACAAACTTATCTACCAAAACCAAAACAAATCCATCTTATTCTCCCGAGCGGGGATTATAAATACAAGACAACATGGCGGTGTGAGCGCAGCAAGACAATGGTGGGCATGACGTCTCCTCGCATACATGGAACACGTATGTAGAGATAACACTGGCATTGCACATAGAAGGGGAAGGAACACATATACCATGGCTATGTACAGACAGGCAGGGTGAAGGAAACATACACAGACTGACCACAGGACAGGTACAACCTCCAGTGGGGAGCGGTGGAGGAATCTGACCAACATGGCCACAAGAGGTTCAGAAAGACATGCATGGTCATCAGAGCTCACAGCCACTGCTAGGATCAACCTATGACATCAGAGAGTGAAGCTATGACATCAGAGCTCACAGCCACTGCTAGGATCAACCTATGACATCAGAGAGTGAAGCTATGACATCAGAGCTCACAGCCACTGCTAGGATCAACCTATAACATCAGAGTTAACCTATGACATCAGAGCTCACAGCCACTGCTGGGATCAACCTATGGCATCAGAGGGTGGACCTATGACATCAGAGAGTGGACCTATGACATCAGAGCTCACAGCCACTGCTGGGATCAACCTATTAACATCAGAGAGTGGACCTATGACATCAGAGTGAACCTAGGACATCAGAGAGTGGACCTAGGACATCAGAGCTCACAGCCACTGCTGGGATCAACCTATGGACATCAGAGAGTGAACCTATGACATCAGAGCCAGCAACCAGTGCTGGGAGGAACCCATGATATTGGAGCTTGCAGCCATCTCTGTGATGAACCTATGATATCAGAGAATTAACCTATGACATCAGAGCTCATAGCCACTGATGGGATGAACCTATGCTAAGCCTGCAGATAACTATGAGATGAACCCATGACATCAGAGGTCACCCATGTATACTGCACTTTCAATGGCCACTCACCATGACACAGCACTGAGGAGTAAAGATGGCACCTAAGACTGGCTATACGGGGGGGGGGGGGGCAGTTACAGAGCCTGCATGCATCTAATGGAAAGGAAGGGTCAGGAAGGGACAAGGCACGGGTTAGCACCCGGGATTGGCTGTATATGACAGAACAGGAAGAAATACACAGAAATATCTGCAGAATGTTCTTGTTCTATGGTAGACTGCAAGGCACCTCCAGCACAATTCTTGGTATGTAAAGTGCATGGTGCGGTCCTGGGTGAGTGCACCTTCCCCCCAACTTCTCTCAGGGACCCTGAATGCTCACAGGAGGAAATTCTCTCTCATCGTCCAGCTGAACCGGTCCAACTGCAAACTCGTGTTCTGGAAGCAGCTCACCACGCAGGGCCCCTCCATCTTCTGAGTAACCTGAGGTTGGAACAAGCAAATGTTAATTCCCAATCAACCAAACGCCTACACCACTGTCCCCTTCAGGGGGCGCTCTCACCTGTAACAGTGGATGAGGAGGGTACGTTACTTGGCCTGGCTACAGTGGCAGCATAAGATGTAGGCGCTGAACTCTCTGCCGATCCTTCTCCACCTTTCTCCGACTTGCTGCTGTCCAGGAGGCTGCAGAGACCAGAGAGATTACCAGCACAGAGTTCGCACTTCAGTCCTGACCAGCTGAGAGGACATGTACAGACCGCCAGGAACTGACAGCAAAGAGACGCTGACCACTGGTCCTAGTCACAGTGTGACGCCCATCCCAGTCCCCATAGGACCCCCTCCACCAGTCCCAGTCCCCACAGAATCCAGGACCTCCTGTCCCAGTCCCCATAGGACCTCCTGTCCCAGTCCCCATAGGACCTCCTGTCCCAGTCCCCATAGGACCTCCTGTCCCAGTCCCCATAGGACCTCCTGTCCCAGTCCCCATAGGACCTCCTGTCCCAGTCCCCATAGGACCTCCTGTCCCAGTCCCCATAGGACCTCCTGTCCCAGTCCCCATAGGATCCCTCTCTGTCTATCCAGTCCCCATAGGACCTCCTGTCCCAGTCCCCATAGGATCCCTCTCTGTCTATCCCCATGGGACCCTCCCACCATCTCACCCCCCCCCCCCCCCAGTCCCCACATGACCCCCTCCGCCTGCCCCTGAAGTAGTACAGTCACCTGTGTTTCTTTATCAGGACACACTCGCCCCCATCCTGCGGGTCCACATTGTAGATGTAGAGATGGCCACTGGATGAGGCGACCAGCAGTCGGGGAAGTTTGTGAATTCTGGAAGCAGAGAGGACAAGTTGATGGTTTTCAGCCAATCGGGGAGCGGAGATCTTTAGTGTCATAGACGGACTTACGTCACCAAAGTGCAAGTGTTCTTGTGGCCGGAGAAGCCGAGGCGCACCGTGGCGAATGCCCGGTCCTGGTTCATCATGTCTGACACCTGAGCTGGGAGGTAGTTGGACGCCACCATAAACATCTTCCCCATGTAGCCGCTCCAGGAGGACGCTTCCTCCAATCTGGGGAATTTATTACAGATGAAGACCAATCACATCACACGTTATTGGGTTCAATATGCAATGCCAGAAAACCTGAGCAGACATGCAGGGGGCTCATTCCAGTTCCTGGGGGAGGTTGTCTAGCCAATCACTGTGCAGGAGAAGCATTGTGACATCACAAGGATGATAAACAAGAACTCGGGAAAAGCGACCCCACAAAGGACAGGAAACTGCGCTGACATTGTGGGTGGAGCCTGCTTTCCCATCCAGAACTGAACCCAGCTATGGAGGACTGCAGGGGTACAAGGCGGGGGATGGAAACATGAACAGCTGATTAATGATGAAGCATGCCATGTTCCTCAGGTCTGACGAGACAACGGAGCAGAGACATTGTACAATACAGAGAGAGCCAGGTAGGAGCAGAGACATCGTACAATACAGACAGCGCCAGGTAGGAGCAGAGACATCGTACAATACAGACAGCGCCAGGTAGGGGCAGAGACATCGTACAATACAGACAGCGCCAGGTAGGAGCAGAGACATCGTACAATACAGAGAGAGAGTGCCAGGTAGGAGCAGAGACATCGTACAATACAGACAGCGCCAGGTAGGAGCAGAGACATCGTACAATACAGACAGCGCCAGGTAGGAGCAGAGACATCGTACAATACAGAGAGAGTGCCAGGTAGGAGCAGAGACATCGTACAATACAGACAGCGCCAGGTAGGAGCAGAGACATCGTACAATACAGACAGCGCCAGGTAGGAGCAGAGACATCGTACAATACAGACAGCGCCAGGTAGGAGCAGAGACATCGTACAATACAGACAGCGCCAGGTAGGAGCAGAGACATCGTACAATACAGACAGCGCCAGGTAGGGGCAGAGACATCGTACAATACAGACAGCGCCAGGTAGGAGCAGAGACATCGTACAATACAGACCAGCAGCCAATACAGGTAGGGCCAGAGAGAGACATCGTACAATACAGACAGCGCCAGGTAGGAGCAGAGACATCGTACAATACAGACAGCGCCAGGTAGGAGCAGAGACATCGTACAATACAGACAGCGCCAGGTAGGAGCAGAGACATCGTACAATACAGACAGCGCCAGGTAGGAGCAGAGACATCGTACAATACAGACAGCGCCAGGTAGGAGCAGAGACATCGTACAATACAGACACGCCAGGTAGGAGCAGAGACATCGTACAATACAGACAGCGCCAGGTAGGAGCAGAGACATCGTACAATACAGACAGCGCCAGGTAGGAGCAGAGACATCGTACAATACAGACAGCGCCAGGTAGGAGCAGAGACATCGTACAATACAGACAGCGCCAGGTAGGAGCAGAGACATCGTACAATACAGACAGCGCCAGGTAGGAGCAGAGACATCGTACAATACAGACAGCGCCAGGTAGGAGCAGAGACATCGTACAATACAGACAGCGCCAGGTAGGAGCAGAGACATCGTACAATACAGACAGCGCCAGGTAGGAGCAGAGACATCGTACAATACAGACAGCGCCAGGTAGGAGCAGAGACATCGTACAATACAGACAGCGCCAGGTAGGAGCAGAGACATCGTACAATACAGACAGCGCCAGGTAGGAGCAGAGACATCGTACAATACAGACAGCGCCAGGTAGGAGCAGAGACATCGTACAATACAGACAGCGCCAGGTAGGAGCAGAGACATCGTACAATACAGACAGCGCAGGTAGGAGCAGAGACATCGTACAATACAGACAGCGCCAGGTAGGAGCAGAGACATCGTACAATAGGAGCAGAGACATCGCGCCAGGTAGGAGCAGAGACATCGTACAATACAGACAGCGCCAGGTAGGGGCAGAGACATCGTACAATACAGACAGCGCCAGGTAGGGGCAGAGACATCGTACAGACGCCAGGTAGGGGCGTCGTTACAATACAGACAGCGCCAGGTAGGGGCAGAGACATCGTACAATACAGAGAGAGCGCCAGGTAGGGGCAGAGACATCTTACAATACAGACAGCGCCAGGTAGGGGCAGAGACATCTTACAATACAGAGAGAGCGCCAGGTAGGGGCAGAGACATCGTACAATACAGAGAGAGCAGCCAGGTAGGGCAGAGACATCGTACAATACAGACAGCACCAGGTAGGGGCAGAGACATCGTAAATACAGACAGCGCCAGGTAGGGGCAGAGAGACATCGTACAATACAGACAGCACCAGGTAGGGGCAGAGACAGTACAATACAGACAGCACCAGGTAGGGGCAGAGCAGAGACATCGTACAATACAGAGAGAGCGCCAGGTAGGGGCAGAGACATTGAGTATTATTGTTAGGGGCAAAGCTTTCTTGTGTCAGTACAGTGGAGTGGGACCAAGCCAAGTGTCAGAGATGAAAGTCTAGGAATCAGATGTACTTTATAGATCCTTTATAGAGAGAATTCCCAGAATTGGCTGCAGTCACTGTAACCTGGCCACACTGCAAAACAGACCATTTCCTCCACATCACCTCCCTACAATGGTGTCACTTCTATAGGCATTTCTCCAGTAGTCTTCAAGCTTCATAAACACAATGAAAACCTGTCATCATAATGAGCATTGCTTCCTTCTCCATCTTCCACACCTCGGAACAAATCCAAACAGATAGTGGGCAAAAAAAGAAAATCTTCATATGAAGAGACTGAGCCCCATCTGGTTTGCAAAAAACTCAGAGGCAGTTTGGGGGTGTAAAGTGGTGACCGCATCTCCCAAAGGGTGGGGGAGTTATGGAACAGATATCCGAAATCTTGGAATTCCTTTACACGCTATTCCTGCTGACATTCATCTCCCAGCGAGACACATTAAAGCAGAAGAGGCAGAGGTGTCCATTGACCTGCTCATATAGACTTTGGTCACTTTCATCCTGGACCTACACAGCTACCTCTGCAGAAAAGGACTCCATCTTGGCCAACTGACCGCAGCCATCCAGGGAAAGGCAGAGAATATGGTAGATGGAGATCACCAAAATGGTCTTCACATTACAAGCACTGTTTGTGGACCTCAGCAGAGAATATCTCATATGGAGATCACCAAGATGGTCTTCACATTACAAGCACTGTTTGTGGACCTCAGCAGAGAATATGGTAGATGGAGATCACCAAATGGTCTTCACATTACAAGCACTGTTTGTGGACCTCAGCAGAGAATCTCATATGGAGATCACCAAGATGGTCTTCACATTACAAGCACTGTTTGTGGACCTCAGCAGAGAATATCTCATATGGAGATCACCAAGATGGTCTTCACATTACAAGCACTGTTTGTGGACCTCAGCAGAGAATATGGTAGATGGAGATCACCAAAATGGTCTTCACATTACAAGCACTGTTTGTGGACCTCAGCAGAGAATCTCATATGGAGATCACCAAGATGGTCTTCACATTACAAGCACGGTTTGTGGACCTCAGCAGAGAATCTCATATGGAGATCACCAAGATGGTCTTCACATTACAAGCACTGTTTGTGGACCTCAGCAGAGAATATCTCATATGGAGATCACCAAGATGGTCTTCACATTATACAAGCTGTTTATGGACCTCAGCAGACCTCAAATCCAGAAATACCGACATTTTAGATCCATTAATTTTAGGTTCTCTTTTTCTCTAGCCTGTCGAATAATAATTTCACAAACTTTATAGTTCAGGAGCTGAATAGGAAAGGCTGTAGGAGGAGGAGGACCTGGTGGCAGTATGCGGAAAAGGACCCGATGAACCCAATTGAACACAAACATTGGTATCTGTGCATCTTTGCTGAAAATGTAGAACAGCCATTCTTCTATCAATTGCACTGCGATGGTTCCTAACCCTTTCTCTGGAATACCTACAAATGGCACATTTTCCAGATGGTCTAGCTTATCCATCAGTAGAGTAACACCTCTGGGGAAGTAAGCTATGTCCATTTGTAAAGGAGCTAGTGCATCCTCCAACTCGCCCACCTGACCCTCTAGTGTGGAGGTCCTTTCTAGGAACTTTTGTATATCACGGTGGAGGAGGGATAGGTGATTTGTAGAAGGTGAAGGGAGGGACATCTGTAAGCGAGGGTTCAGGCTTGTCCCTCCATGAAGGAATACACAGGGAACCACCAGTGGTGTCCTCCTGAAACACATCAGGGACCCCCCCCCCCCCCAAGAGTATTTACTATAGATGGGCATGGAGTGGGAAAGCTGTCGGTTCCACGCCCCTTCTGTGTCTAGTGGCAGAGGATCCTCATTGGGTTGCGGTTTTATTCCATATGTCCCACTGCAGCTTGGCTCTAAGGTTCCTTCCCCACTCTGGTCATGCTCAGCATGGTGGACTAGAGCCAGGATAGGGCTGTGTAAATAGCTGGCAAGGATGTGCTTAGTCATGGCAAGAAAAGAGAAGGCAAAGAGCTCTGTAGACAGGTACACAGGAATGGGAGCCCCGAGAAACTGCTGCCTCTAAGGTGCAGGCCTCACCCAGCATTGTAACATCACAACCCGATATTTCACATATTTCCCACAGCAGCCGAATGCAGCACTGGTAATACCTGGGGATTAGGGGGGTACTCACCGCTCCAAGGGAACTTCCAGGCGGAAGATGTGCACAGTCTCGGTGTTGCTGGACACACATAGGAACTGACAGTCTGTACTGAACACCAGAGAATTTATAGAGACATACCTGGAAGACAATCACCAGCAATGACCAACCACAAAACTGCTTCCTAACTTAAAGAACAGAAACTGCAATCCTATTGGTTGATAGGAAAAGCAGAGACCTGATAAGTTGTGCTCTTCAAAGGGCTCTCCTTCCAACAAAGAAGCTGCAATGGAGCAACCTGGGGAGGCACCTCAAATGTACAGGAGAAGGCAACAGAGGTATATAAATGTGGGTGGAGCAGTGGCAGTATAGGCGGAGTATAGTAGAAGGGGTGGAGCAGTGGCAGTGTAGGCGGAGTATAGTAGAAGGGGTGGAGCAGTGGCAGTATAGGCAGAGTACAGTAGAAGGGGTGGAGCAGTGGCAGTGTAGGCAGAGTACAGTAGAAGGGGTGGAGCAGTGGCAGTGTAGGCGGAGTATAGTAGAAGGGGTGGAGCAATAGCAGTATAGGCAGAGTATAGTAGAAGGGGTGGAGCAGTGGCAGTATAGGCAGAGTAATAGTAGAAGGGGTGGAGCAGTGGCGGTGTAGGTGGAGTATAGTAGAAGGGGTGGAGCAGTGGCGTGTAGGCAGAGTATAGTAGAAGGGGTGGAGCAATAGGCAGTATAGGCAGAGTATAGTAGAAGAGGGTGGAGCAGTGGCAGTATAGGGCAGAGTATAGTAGAAGGGGTGGAGCAGTGGCGTATAGGCAGAGTATAGTAGAAGGGAGTGGAGCAGTGGCGAGTATAGGCAGAGTATAGTAGAAGGGGTGAGAGCAGTGGCAGTATAGGTGAGTATAGTAGAAGAAGGGTGGAGCAGTGGGCAGTATAGGTGAGTATAGTAGAAGGGGTGGAGCAGTGGCAGTGTAGCGAGTATAGAGCAGTGGCAGTATAGTGGATAGTAGAAGGGGTGGAGCAGTGGCAGTGTAGGTGGAGTATAGTAGAAGGGAGTGGAGCAGTGGCGGTGTAGGTGGAGTATAGTAGAAGGGGTGGAGCAATAGCAGTATAAGCAGAGTATAGTAGAAGGGGTGGAGCAGTGGCAGTATAGGCGGAGTATAGTAGAAGGGGTGGAGCAGTGGCAGTATAGGTGCGGAGTATAGTAGAAGGGGTGGAGCAGTGGCAGGTGTAGGTGGAGTATAGTAGAAGGGGTGGCAATAGCAATAGCAGTATAAGCAGAGTATAGTAGAAGGGGTGGAGCAGTGGCAGTATAGGCGGAGTATAGTAGAAGGGGTGGAGCAGTGGCAGTGTAGGCAAAGTATAGAAAAGGGTGGAGCAGTGGCAGTATAGGTGGACAATAGTAGAAGGGAGTGGAGCAGTGGCGGTGTAGGTGGAGTATAGAAGGGAGTGGAGCAGTGGCGGTGTAGGCGGAGTATAGTAGAAGGGGTGGAGCAGTGACAGTGTAGGCGGAGTATAGTAGAAGGGGTGGAGCAGTGACAGTGTAGGTGGAGTATAGTACAAGGGGGTGGAACAGTGACAGTATAGGAGAATTGTAGAGGTGCTGGAGAAGTGGCGGTGTAAGTGGACAATAGTAGAAGGAAGTGGTGCAGTGGTAGTGTAGGCAGAGTACAGTGGCAGAGTAGTAGAAGGGGTGGAGCAGTGGCAGTGTAGGCAGAGTATAGAAGAGGGTGGAGCAGTGGCAGTATAGGTGGACAATAGTAGAAGGGAGTGGGGCGGTGGTAGGTGGAGTATAGTAGAAAAGGGGTGGAGCAGTGGCAGTGTAGGTGGAGTATAGAAGGGAGTGGAGTAGTGGCAGTGTAGGCAGAGTATAGAAGGGAGTGGAGCAGTGGCAGTACAGGTGGACAATAGTAGAAGGGAGTGGAGCAGTGGCGGTGTAGGTGGAGTATAGTAGAAAAGGGGTGGAGCAGTGGCGGTGTACGTGGAGTATAGTAGAAAAGGGGTGGAGCAGTGGCGGTGTACGTGGAGTATAGTAGAAAAGGGGTGGAGCAGTGGCGGTGTACGTGGAGTATAGTAGAAAAGGGGTAGAGCAGTGGCAGTGTAGGTGGAGTATAGAAGGGAGTGGAGAGCAGTGGCGGTGTAGGTGGAGTATAGAAGGAGTGGAGCAGTGGCGGTGTAGGTGGAGTATAGAAGGGAGTGGAGCAGTGGCGGTGTAGTATAGAAGGGGGTGGAGCAGGGGTGGTGTACGTGGAGTATAGTAGAAGGGGGTGAAGCAGGGCTCTGACCTCTTCATTCCTCTGCGGAATTCATACAACTTCTGCCCTTCTGGGATGGAGAAGACACGGATCACTGTCCCCTGTAGGGAAGAGGCCGGTCAGTTATGCAAGTTTTGGGTGGAGAAAGGATGCACAGAGCACTGGACTCACTTTTTCAGAAGCGCTGGCCAGTTTGGTCCCTGTAGGACTGAAGGCAATGGCGGCCAGGGGGCTGTCATGAGCTGGAATGGAGCATTCCGTTTTCTGCAGGAAAAGATTTTTTTTTATTTTAATTGAAATATTAACAAACCAATTTTCAGGTCGACCTCTATGACATCATCAGGGGAAGGAAAGGATGGGGCACTGTGAGGTGGAGTCATAGCGGGCATTTCCTGATAGGAGATGGTGGCGGGGAACTATACTGTTGCTGGCCACATACTAGAAGTTGTTTGAACGGCCATTTGATGCCTTGATGAATGCCATTCATTAGTTTCAATACTGGATTTTGGAATGAATGGAGACTTCTGAACAAGAACCTTCACTGTTAGATACTCATTCAAGAAAAGGTGGAATTTTCTCCTCACTGCAGCTGGCAACAACCTCCCATCTCACCCCACTAATGGCTAAACACTGAACGAAGGTTTCTAAAGGTTCTACTATCGTTAGGCCTGTCATTGGTTTTATTCATCCAGGACCACTTCTGCTGGCTGTCTCATTAGATTGTAAGCTCCATGGAACAAGAATTCCCATCAGTGCCCTCAGATGGGCAGGTCACATGACTCACCAGCATGTTGGCATCATACACAACGATCTCCCCCGTGGAGGAGCTGCCAGGGTAGGCCAGGAAGGAATTGGAATGGTTTATAGAAAGGGCACAGAGACCTGCAGAAAGGAGAGAGCACATCAGTCACAGCGCCGTCCTGCTGGAGAACACAAGAATCACAGCACTGACTTCTGCCTGTCTATTGGACAATGGGGCTCCCACTCATCACACCACTAACTGCACAATAGGTTCCCCTAAAATCTATGTCTGTGAAGGGTTATCACCCTGCAAGTACAGAACAATGGGAAGGAGACTAGATACCACAGAACGTATGTGGAAGGACTAGGTCTGAGCTATGATGAGGATACAAAGCTACACCCTATACAGATGGGAAGCACAGAAGGGTCTGCTGCAGGAGCACGTCCTTCACCACCTACGTCCTTGTAAATGAATGTAATAAGTCCAGGGTCATGAAACATACATTATCATCTATAGAGCTGCATTCACCCCACTGAGCAGGAAGACTAGGCTACCACCAATACATGTGTGTCAAGGTGGAACATGGATACCCCACCTACTGCACACCAACTGCCACTGAAAACACTAAATACTGTGCTGGCCTAGGTGCAAACATAATTCCAGTACATCAGGAAATGTTAGGGGGATAGCACAACTCTTCTGGAATGGGTCTCCAAATGCAAAGCTGTGTCTGGGTGGGGATGGGGTGGGGTATAGTGCTACCGATGTGCATTAAAAGCCATCAAGGTGACAGACAACTATAAAATGGACAGCAGACATTTAATCAACACACAGTTGGGCAAATCTTGTTAGGAGGCCTATATCGACTTCAAAATGACAGAATCCCAACATACCCAAGTCATGCACAAGGATTACAAGACAACATGTATGAAACAAGGTTCCACCCCTGGACAGACACTACATAAAACCATCATATCATTTACACGGGAAGTCATGGAAGAGGGATAGACCAGATTAAAGCCCCAGGTGTCAAGCCACACCTGACAGAGAAACATTCCCAATAGGTAGGGGAGCAATACCAGGTCCCAATCCAGAGACGTCAAGGCCATGTCAAGATCTTCTAGATCAAAAAGGGATCATTAGGAGGTCTCTCATGGAACCCAGACACTGAAGGGATACTGAATGTGATTGAAGGCCAACAAGAAAGAGGGGACCATGGTAGAAGAGAAATGCCTAGACACCTTTCCAGAAAATACTCTGGTCTGTTGGTGGACTAAGATTGCCAGTGTAATGTCCAGGGGAGTCCATCTCCAAGTGAAGCCTGTAGGAAGAGGTTTCAGCAGGAAAATCCAAACTGCAAGATGCGAGAAAGCACCCCACTTCAAGGAGGGTCTCCTAATGGTTCCACATGTACGGATCACATAAGCTGCATGTAAGGCCCCATGAGAGCCCATTTTGGCTGACCTTGTAGTAAAGCAGATCACTCAGAGGGCAGATAGGACTGATGGGTAGCAAACACCACAAAGTGCTCAACAGTACACAGCAAATTCCCCTGTAAGGAGGTGTATGATTGGAAGACTGGTATATACAGTGGTCTTTTGAGGGTATGGTTTTATTCAGGGAGGATCCAGACGTGCCAGTGTGTTGGGAACTCAGGTAGGAAAGAGTGGATATGCTATTGAGAACAGCATCAGAAGAATGAAAGGGGACAGCTGAATGAGAGGTTGATTACAAGGATTCAGCCTGATGGCTACAGGGGTGGGACCTGTCCACACAAAGACTGGAAAGGTAAATTGCCCAGAGACTTAGCTGGATGAACAAAACTGCTGCCCACTTGAAGAAGGTGGTGCTCCTTCATGCAGAAGGGATACTAGAGAGACCGAAAGACCTCTGGCAGCGAGTCTGGTGGACTGTGCGAGAAGTGGACTTTGACAGTCTTTGTGCCTTAGCTCCGTGGAAGAGGAAGGAGTAGACTGGGGTCCCATGGACCTTTCCACAAGTCTCCTGTGCCGAGGCAGGTTAGTGTGTTGCCCACTGCTGTGAATTGCTAATAACCGTTTTATAAGGAGGTCCAAAATACATCTACACTGTGCCGGCTTCAATCACTCCCGTCCTCCATACACCAGATAACCCAACGTCTACACCGTGCCGGCTTCATTCACCCCTGTCCTCCATACACCAGATAACCCAACGTCTACGCCGTGCCAGCTTCAATCACTCCCGTCCTCCATACACCAGATAACCCAACGTCTACACCGTGCCGCTTCAATCACTCCCGTCCTCCATACACCAGATAACCCAACGTCTACACCGTGCCAGCTTCATTCACCCCTGTCCTCCATACACCAGATAACCCAACGTCTACACCGTGCCGGCTTCAATCACTCCCGTCCTCCATACACCAGATAACCCAACGTCTACACCGTGCCAGCTTCATTCACCCCTGTCCTCCATACACCAGATAACCCAACGTCTACACCGTGCCGGCTTCAATCACTCCCGTCCTCCATACACCAGATAACCCAACGTCTACACCGTGCCAGCTTCAATGACTCCCGTCCTCCATACACCAGATAACCCAACGTCTACACCATGCCAGCTTCATTCACCCCTGTCCTCCATACACCAGATAACCCAATGTCTACACCGTGTTGGCTTCAATCCCCTCCTCTATGAGTAGACGGGGTCACGTATAACATACAGCATCTTAGTTGCAGGTCATTGTACAGGTTGGAGACATTGAATCTTTGTCTCTACATGAAGACAGTTTGTTCTGCACTGGAATGTGTGTATTGTTGACATGACTGGTAATTCCACCATTCTACACATGTGCTCAGACACAGGAGTCCGTCACTAAGGGGCTCATAAAAAGTGGTAATAATGCTACCCAGTGATTTGCTTTACAAAATGCAAATGAATAACAGAATTGAATGACAGACCAGTAAAAAAAATAAATAAATAATCTGGAGGAAAACCTGGTCATGTGACCAGTAAAATTACATGGGCTGCTCTCCTCCAATCACAGAGGTTTCTCTGCTCCGTGGGGCTTCACCCACCTAATTTTTATGACAGAGGTGAGCTGCAGTGTGAATAGCATGATGAGATCCCCAAGAATCAGGCCCTTGCACAGCTTACCGGATCCATTCCGCGGAGTGTCCAGTAGTGTTTTTAGGAGCTTCATGTCTTTAATGTTATGGATGTAAATTGCCTCCTCCAGACACACCACCAACCTCTGCAACAAAAGGTAAGTCTGCAGTCAGCCAGCCCATCCCTTGTAGGATGTAGTCACAGGGAGATGCCAACACATACCTGTCGGTTCAGCCTGATGGAGAGGATGTTGGCGGAGTAGTTGTAGTTGCAGATTTCTGTACCTTTTTTAAAGTGAAACACATTCATTTGTCGTGGCTTGGAGTGACTGACGACAACCACCAGACTGCTGGAAAAAAGCCTTTCCACGATGTAGACATCTGGGAGATCGACTTGGAAACAAAGGACAGAATGATGAGAGAACACCAAAAATGGCCACTCCCTATCACCATTAACAGCCAACCCCCATCATAGCCCTATCGCCATTAACGACCACCCCCATCGGAACCCTCTCACCATTAACAGCCAACCCCCATCATAGCCCTATCGCCATTAACGACCACCCCCATCGGAACCCTCTCACCATTAACAGCCAACCCCCATCATAGCCCTATCGCCATTAACGACCACCCCCATCGGAACCCTCTCGCCATTAACAGCCAACCCCCATCATAGCCCTATCGCCATTAACGACCACCCCCATCGGAACCCTATCGCCATTAACAGCCAACCCCCATCATAGCCCTATCGCCATTAACGACCACCCCCATCGGAACCCTCTCACCATTAACAGCCAACCCCCATCATAGCCCTATCGCCATTAACGACCACCCCCATCGGAACCCTCTCACCATTAACAGCCAACCCCCATCATAGCCCTATCGCCATTAACGACCACCCCCATCGGAACCCTCTCACCATTAACAGCCAACCCCCATCATAGCCCTATCGCCATTAACGACCACCCCCATCGGAACCCTATCGCCATTAACAGCCAACCCCCATCATAGCCCTATCGCCATTAACGACCACCCCCCATCATAGCCCTATGGCCATTAAGGACCACCCCCCCATCGGAACCCTATCGCCATTAATGACCACCCCCATCGGAACCCTATCGCCATTAATGACCACCCCCATCGGAACCCTATCGCCATTAATGACCACCCCCATCGGAACCCTCCTGCCATTAACAGCCAACCCCCATCGGAACCCTCCTGCCATTAACAGCCAACCCCCATCAGAACCCTCTCACCATTAACGGCAACCCCCCATCAGAGCACTATCGCCATTAACGACCACCCCCATCGGAACCCTCTCGCCATTAACAGCCAACCCCCATCATAGCCCTATCGCCATTAACAACCACCCCCATCGGAACCCTATCCCCATTAACGGCAACCCCCCATCGGAGCCCTATCGCCATTAACGACCACCCCCATCGGAACCCTATCCCCATTAACGACCACCCCCCATCGGAGCACTATCGCCAATAACGACCACCCCCCATCTGAGCCCTCTCGCCATCATAATGTGTTCAGGTAACACTGTAGATCCATGTATACAGCCTGGGGTGGACACAATTCAAGGCAAAGAAGAATCTTATACCCTGGACTGACATGGTCCACCCTTCCTCCACAATGAGACCCGGGAACACACAAGGACCAGGGTCCACCCTTCCTCCACAATGAGACCCGGGAACACAAGGACCAGGGTCCACCCTTCCTCCACAATGAGACCCGGGAACACAAGGACCAGGGTCCACCCTTCCTCCACAATGAGACCCGGGAACACAAGGACCAGGGTCCACCCTTCCTCCACAATGAGACCCGGGAACACAAGGACCAGGGTCCACCCTTCCTCCACAATGAGACCCGGGAACACAAGGACCAGGGTCCACCCTTCCTCCACAATGAGACCCGGGAACACAAGGACCAGGGTCCACCCTTCCTCCACAATGAGACCCGGGAACACAAGGACCAGGGTCCACCCTTCCTCCACAATGAGACCCGGGAACACAAGGACCAGGGTCCACCCTTCCTCCACAATGAGACCCGGGAACACAAGGACCAAGGTCCACCCTTCATACTAATAGACACAAGGGGCCCACATACAGCATGTTTCCAGAAGACTCTGAGGACCCAGCCTGCCTGCCTATCTGGATGTAAATGATAGAAGACTGCAATAAACCACTTACAGCTTTCATGGACGAGATCCAAATGTTCTACAGAACTGAGAGAAAAAAGCCGGTACCCCGTCCTCATCCCAATGGCCAATGACCTATTAAGAAAACAAAAAGTAGAAGCAAGGGATTCATCTGTAAGGTGCATGTGACAGTGATCGGTATGTACAGGAGAGGAGTGTGGGGTGTGTGACAGTGATCGGTATGTACAGGAGAGGAGTGTGGGGTGTGTGACAGTGACCGGTATATGTACAGGAGAGGAGTGTGGGGGGTATGACAGTGATCGGTATGTACAGGAGAGGAGTGTGGGAGGTGTGACAGTGACAGGTATGTACAGGAGAGGAGTGTGGGAGGTGTGACAGTGATCGGTATGTACAGGAGAGGAGTGTGGGGGGTGTGACAGTGATCAGTATGTACAGGAGAGGAGTGTGGGGGGTGTGACAGTGATCAGTATGTACAGGAGAGGAGTGTGGGGGGTATGACAGGATCAGTATGTACAGAGGAGGAGTGTGGGAGGTGTGACAGTGATCAGGTATGTACAGGAGAGGAGTGTGGGGGGTGTGACAGTGATCAGTATGTACAGGAGAGGAGTGTGGGGGGGTATGACAGTGATCAGTATGTACAGGAGAGGAGTGTGGGGGGTATGACAGTGATCAGTATGTACAGGAGAGGAGTGTGGGAGGTGTGACAGTGATCGGTATGTACAGGAGAGGAGTGTGGGAGGTGTGACAGTGATCGGTATGTACAGGAGAGGAGTGTGGGGGGTAGGACAGTGATCGGTATGTACAGGAGAGGAGTGTGGAGGTGTGACAGTGAGGACTATGACAGGTATGTACAGAGGAGGAGTGTGGGGGGGGTATGACAGTGATCAGTATGTACAGGAGAGGAGTGTGGAGGTATGACAGTGATCAGTATGTACGGGAGAGGAGTGTGTGGGGGGTATATGACAGTGATCAGTATGTACGGGAGAGGAGTGTGGGGGATTTAGTATTAGTACACACAGGGGGGTCGTGGTCCTGTAAATATAGTATTAGTAACCCCCCCCAATTACAGTGTGGTAGTGGTACACCCTCGCCCTGTACAGTATAGAGATAGTACATTCTTGTAAATATTTGTATACCCTCCCCATATGCAGAGTGAAATAGTATTACCTCCCCCCCCCCCATACAGTATAGATAGTACAGTCCTGTATATATATAGTGTAGTAGACCCCCCCCGTACAGAATAGAGATGATCCAGTCCTGTATATACTAGCCTAGCCTACCCCCCCCCCCCATATGCAGAGTGTAGGAGTGGTTCCCCCCTGTAAAGTATACAGATGGTACAGTCCTGTATATATTAGGATACACCCCCCCCCCAATATGCAGAGTGTAGCAGTAGTGCCCTCCCCCGTACAGTCCTGTATACAATAGTATACCCCCCCATATGAAGAGTGTAGTGGTCCCCCCCCGTACAGTATATAGAGATGGTACAGTCTTGTATATTAGTATACCCCCCCCCCAATATGCAGAGTGTAGTAGTAGTGGTCCCCCCCCGTACAGTATATAGAGATGGTACAGTCCTGTATATATTAGTATACCCCCCCAATATGCAGAGTGTAGTAGTAGTGGTCGCCCCCTGTACAGTCCTGTATGTAAAATAGTATAACCCCCCCCCCCCCCCCATGCAGAGTGTAGTAGAGCCAAAAACAGTATAGAGATGGTACAGTCCTGTATATAATAATATACTGACCATATGCAGAGTGTAGTAGTAGTAGTGCCCCCCCCCCCCGTACAGTATACAGATGGTACAGTCCTGTATATAATAGTATACCCCCCATATGCAGACTGTAGTGGTCCTCCCCCCGTACAGTATACAGATGGTACAGTCCTGTATATAATAGTATACCCCCCATATGCAGACTGTAGTGACCTCCCCCCGTACAGTATACAGATGGTACAGTCCTGTATATAATAGTATACCCCCCATAGGCCGAGAGTGTAGTGACCTCCCCCCTGTACAGTATACAGATGGTACAGTCCTGTATATAATAGTATACCCCCCATATGCAGACTGTAGTGGCCCCCCAGTATACAGATGTACAGTATATAATAGTATACAGATTGTCCCCCCTGTACAGTATACAGATGGTCCTGTTATAATAGTATACCCCCCATATGCCGAGTGTAGTGGCCCCCCCCCCCTGTACAGTAGTACGGTCCTGTTTATAATAGTATACCCCCCCATATGCAGACTGTAGTGGTCCCCCCTGTACAGTATATAGATGGTACAGTCCTGTATATAATAGTATACCCCCCATATGCAGAGTGTAGTAGTCCCCCCTGTACAGTATACAGATGGTACAGTCCTGTATATAATAGTATACCCCCCATATGCAGAGTGTAGTAGTCCCCCCTGTACAGTATACAGATGGTACAGTCCTGTATATAATAGTATACCCCCCATATGCAGACTGTAGTGGTCCTCCCCCGTACAGTATACAGATGGTACAGTCCTGTATATAATAGTATACCCCCCATATGCAGACTGTAGTGCCCTCCCCCCGTACAGTATACAGATGGTACAGTCCTGTATATAATAGTATACCCCCCATATGCAGACTGTAGTGGTTCCCCCCATACAGTATACAGATGGTACAGTCCTGTATATAATAGTATACCCCCCATATGCAGACTGTATACCCCCCGTACATATGCAGACAGTGTATATGGTCCTCCCCATATGCAGTGTACAGTATACAGATGGTACAGTCCTGTATATAATAGTATATATATGCCCCCCCCCGTACAGTATACAGATGGTACAGTCCTGTATATAATAGTGGTGGTGCCCCTCCCCCCGTACAGTATAGAAATGGTACGGTCCAGTACGTGCAGTCCTGGTTGTAGGACAGGCAGACGGTCCCTCCGACTCCCCCCGGTTCGGTCTCCATCCTTTTCCCTCCTCACACCGGCTTCCTCCACATCCGGAATAAACAATCATCATCTGATCCCCGACCCCGCCCTTCCTTTACGGTCAGCCAATCAGTGCTTCAGCAACTGTATTTGTGGCGACACTTCCCGCCTCTTCTACAGCCAACGCATGCTGATTGGAGGGCGGGGCTCAGGCCGGACAGCTGATTGGCGCTCACTGCACACGTTGTCAACCTTAAGCGGCCATACTGGTGGTGGAAGTAGGAATGGGCGGGGCCATCGCGTCCTGTCCTCTGATAAGTGGGTGTGGAAGTGTGTGACTCCACCTCTTGTTCAGCATCCCATCCCGTGTAACGTGGACCTAGGGGGAGGAGCTCTGTGTACAGAGAGAAGAACACAACTACACTACATTGCCCCAAGTATTGTCCCCGCCCTCCAGGTGTTCCAATCCCCTCCCAATCACGTGATTCAGGTGCTCCAATCCCCTCCCAAGCATTGGATTCAGGTGCTCCAATCCCCTCCCAAGCATTGGATTCAGGTGCTCCAATCCCCTCCCATAGCATTGGATTCAGGTGTTCCAATCCCCTCCATATCACGTGATTCAGGTGTTCCAATCCCCTCCATATCACGTGATTCAGGTGTTCCAATCCCCTCCCAAGCATTGGATTCAGGTGTTCCAATCCCCTCCATATCACGTGATTCAGGTGTTCCTAATCCCCTCCATATCACGTGATTCAGGTGTTCCAATCCCCTCCATATCACGTGATTCAGGTGTTCCAATCCCCTCCATATCACGTGATTCAGGTGTTCCAATCCCCTCCATATCACGTGATTCAGGTGTTCCAATCCCCTCCAGGGATTCAGGTGTTCCAATCCCCTCCATATCACGTGATTCAGGTGTTCCTAATCCCCTCCATATCACGTGATTCAGGTGTTCCAATCCCCTCCCAAGCATTGGATTCAGGTGTTCCAATCCCCTCCATATCACGTGATTCAGGTGTTCCTAATCCCCTCCATATCACGTGATTCAGGTGTTCCTAATCCCCTCCATATCACGTGATTCAGGTGTTCCTAATCCCCTCCATATCACGTGATTCAGGTGTTCCAATCCCCTCCCAATCACGTGATTCAGGTGCTCCAATCCCCTCCCAATCATTGGATTCAGGTGTTCCAATCCCCTCCAACCATGTGATTCGGGTGTTCCAATCCCCTCCATATCATGTGATTCAGGTGCTCCAATCCCTTCCATATCATGTGATTCAGGTGTTCCAATCCCCTCCATGGACACAGGTGTATACAATCAAGCCCCTAGGCATGCAGACGGCTTCTACAAACATTGGTGAAAGAATGGGTCGCTCTCAGGAGCTCAGTGACTCCAAGCGTGGTCCCGTGATAGGTGGCCACCTGGGCAATAAGTCCATCCGTGACATTTCCTGGCTACTAAATATTCCACCAACTGTTAGTGGGATTATAACAAAGTGGAAGCAACTGGGAACAACAGCCACTCACCCACCAAGTGGTAGGCCACGTCACATGACAGGGCGGGGTCAGCGCATGCTGAAGCGCACAGTGCGCAGAAGTCACCAACTGTCTGCAGAGTCAATAGCTAAAGACCTCCAAACTTGGTGTGGCCTTCAGATGAGCCCAACAACAGTGCGTAGAGAGCTTCATGGAATGGGTTTCCATGGCCGAGCAGCTGCATCCAAGCCTTCCATCACCAAGTGCAATGCAAAGCGTCGGATGCCGTGGTGTAAAGCACGCCGCCACTAGACTCTAGAGCAGGGGAGACGTGTTCTCTGGAGGGACCAATCACACTTCTCTGTCTGGCAATCCGATGAGCGTGTCTGGGTTTGGCGGTGGCCAGGAGAACGGTACTTTACTGACTGCATTGTGCCAAGTGTAAAGTTTGGTGGAGGGGGGATTATGGTGGGGGGTGTTTTTTTCAGGGGTTGGGCTTGGCCCCCTAGTTCCAGTGAAGGGAACTCTTAAGGCGACATTTTGGACCATTTCATGCCCCCAACTTTGTGGGAAGAGTTTGGAGATGGCCCCTTCCTGTTCCAACATGACTGCCCACCAGTGCACAAAGCAAGGTCCATAAAGACATGGAGGAGCCAGTTTGGGGTGGAGGAACTTGACTGTCCTGCACAGAGTCCTGACCTCAACCCCATAGAACACCTTTGGGATGAATTAGGGCGGAGACTGTGAGCCAGGCCTCCTCCCCTGACATCAGTCAGTGCCCCTCCCCGACATCAGTGCCTGACCTGACAAATGTGCTTCTGGAAGAATGGTCCAACCTTCCCATAGACACCCTCCTAAACCTTGTGGACGGCCTTCCCAGAAGAGTTGAAGCTGTTATAGGTGCAAAGGGCGGGGCCAACTCAATATTGAACCCTACAGACTAAGACTGGGGGGCCATTAAAGGTCATGTGTGTGGAAGGGGCGGGGCCAACTCAATATTGAACCCTACGGACTAAGACTGGGGGGCCATTAAAGGTCATGTGTGTGGGAAGGGCGGGGCCAACTCAATATTGAAACCTACAGACTGGGAGGCCATTAAAAGTCATGTGTGTGGGAAGGCAGGAGACCAATGCTGGGGGCAATATAGTGTAGGTACTTAATTCTCACAGCTTCTAAAGGCAAAGACTTTCCTATCCCTACTCCTAGAGGCAAGTCCCTGCCGACAGGAGCCGGGGGGAGGCAAGTCCCTGCCGACAGGAGCCTGGGGGAGGGGCAAGTCCCTGCCGACAGGAACTGGGGGAGGTAAGTCTTTGCCTATTGGGGCTGTGAGGTTAGGTCACAATATGGAACCATCACTGCTGATTGACCTGCACTTAGCTCCCTACACCTGCAGATGGCACTGTAACCAACTGGATCTGATGGACCGTTGCCTCCAATGAAGGATTGCTGGTGTTTCGGTGATACAGGAGAAATGGGACATTTTGGCGGGAGAAGTTCAGCAGGGACAGGGTTGCCTTCATCATATGGGAGTGTAGCTACAGGCATATTGTTGTATCCCATCCGGTTCCCAGCTGTCTGTACAATATATAAATCACTATAGGGTCACCTGGAACCCCAACATTCCCCGAGACAAGGCACACCATCTCAGTCACAGGATCCCCCCAACCAAACCTTAGAACCCCTTTCTTTGGGGAAGATAAGGGGCCAAGCTTTACCAGACAATCCCCACCAAAACTAGAAAGCTGACACCTCGTTCAGCAGAAACAATGATGGGACCGGGCACACGCAAGCAATGATGGGAGCGGACGCGCTCAGGCAATGATGGGAGCGGACGCGCAGGCAATGATGGGAGCGGACGCGCTCAGGCAATGATGGGAGCGGACGCGCTCAGGCAATGATGGGAGCGGACGCGCGCAGGCAATGATGGGAGCGGACGCGCAGGCAATGATGGGAGCGGACGCGCGCAGGCAATGATGGGAGCGGACGCGCGCAGGCAATGATGGGAGCGGACGCGCGCAGGCAATGATGGGAGCGGACGCGCAGGCAATGATGGGAGCGGACGCGCGCAGGCAATGATGGGAGCGGACGCGCGCAGGCAATGATGGGAGCGGACGCGCGCAGGCAATGATGGGAGCGGACGCGCTCAGGCAATGATGGGAGCGGACGCGCAGGCAATGATGGGAGCGGACGCGCTCAGGCAATGATGGGAGCGGACGCGCTCAGGCAATGATGGGAGCGGACGCGCAGGCAATGATGGGAGCGGACGCGCTCAGGCAATGATGGGAGCGGACGCGCAGGCAATGATGGGAGCGGACGCGCTCAGGCAATGATGGGAGCGGACAGGCGCGCAGGCAATGATGGGGGGAGCGGACGCGCAGGCAATGATGGGAGCGGACGCGCAGGCAATGATGGGAGCGGACGCGCTCAGGCAATGATGGGAGCGGACGCGCGCAGGCAATGATGGGAGCGGACGCGCGCAGGCAATGATGGGAGCGGACGCGCGCAGGCAATGATGGGAGCGGACGCGCGCAGGCAATGATGGGAGCGGACGCGCAGGCAATGATGGGAGCGGACGCGCAGGCAATGATGGGAGCGGACGCGCTCAGGCAATGATGGGAGCGGACGCGCGCAGGCAATGATGGGAGCGGACGCGCTCAGGCAATGATGGGAGCGGACGCGCGCAGGCAATGATGGGAGCGGACGCGCGCAGGCAATGATGGGAGCGGACGCGCGCAGGCAATGATGGGAGCGGACGCGCAGGCAATGATGGGAGCGGACGCGCGCAGGCAATGATGGGAGCGGACGCGCAGACTTGAGTTTTATGCACAGTGCAAATTCCTGCACAGAACAAATCTGCATGTGATACCAGTGTGAACAGGACACAGAACAATGGATGTCATGGTGTCCTTGCAGAACGCCTTAAGAAAAACCGACAACTTTGTACCATGATGTGACTGAGGCCTAAAACCAGCTGATACAGTATAGTCTGCGGCACCGGAATATGAAGGAACCAGCCGGGTCTGACTGAGACCCTCCAATCACCCTCATCCTGAGCTTCCTACACACCAATTCATCTTACTGTATGCCGGTCACTGGGCCCTGACATGACACCCTGGCCACACTGTATACCGGTCACCAGGCCCTGACATGACAACCTGGCCACACTGTATACGGGTCACTGGGCCGTGACACGACACCCTGGCCACACTGTATACCGGGCCCTTAAATGACACCCTGGTCATACTGTATACTTATCACCGGGTCCTGACATGTGACACCCTGGCCACACTGTATACCGGGCCCTTACGTGACACCCTGGCCACACTGTATACCGGTCACCTGAACCTGATAACAGGGTCTTGACATGTGACACCCTGGCCATACTGTATACCGATCACCGGGTCCTGACATGTGACACCCTGGCCATACTGTATACCGATCACCGGGGTCCTGAAATGTGACACCCTGGCCATACTGTATACCGATCACCGGGTCCTGACGTGACACCCTGGCCATATTGTATACCGATCACCGGGTCCTGACATGTGACACCCTGGCCATACTGTATACCGATCACCTGACGGGTCCTGACGTGACACCCCTGGCCATATTGTATACCGATCACCGGGTCCTGACATGTGACACCCTGGCCATACTGTATACCGATCACCGGGTCCTGACGTGACACCCTGGCCATATTGTATACCGATCACCGGGTCCTGACATGTGACACCCTGGCCATATTGTATACCGATCACCGGGTCCTGACATGTGACACCCTGGCCACACTGTATACCGGGCCCTTACGTGACACCCTGGCCACATACTGTATACCGGTCACCGGGGTCACATGTGACCTGAACCATGATAACAGGGTCTTGACATGTGACACCCTGGCCATATTGTATACCGATCACCGGGTCCTGGCCATGTGACACCCTGGCCATACTGTATACTTATGGCACCTGACGGGTCCTGACATGTGACACCCTGGCCACACTGTATACCGGTCACCGGGCCTTGACGCGAGACCTTGGCCACACTGTATACCGGGCCCTTACGTGACACCCTGGCCACACTGTATACCGGGCCCTTACGTGACACCCTGGCCACACTGTATACTGGGTCACCGGGCCTTGACGCGACACCCTGGCCACACTGTATACCGGTCGTGACACCTGAACCTGATAACAGGGTCTTGACATGTGACACCCTGGCCATACTGTATACGGATCACCGGGTCCTGACATGTGACACCCTGGCCATACTGTATACCGATCCCCGGGTCCTGACATGTGACACCCTGGCCATATTGTATACCAATCACTGGGTCCTGACATGTGACATCCTGGCCATACTGTATACCGATCACCGGGTCCTGACATGTGACACCCTGGCCATACTGTATACCGATCACCAGGTCCTGACATGTGACACCCTGGCCATACTGTATACCGATCACCGGGTCCTGACATGTGACACCCTGGCCGTACTGTATACCGATCACCGGGGTCCTGACATGTGACACCCTGGCCGTACTGTATACCGATCACCGGGTCCTGACATGTGACACCCTGGCCGTACTGTATACCGATCACCGGGTCCTGACATGTGACACCCTGGCCGTACTGTATACCGATCACCGGGTCCTGACATGCGACACCCTGGCCATACTGTATACCGATCACCGGGTTCTGACATGTGACACATTAACCATGGATTATTCCTATTGTTGATTATATGCCGTGTGGGTGCCTTGTTGAAGATCTGGTGCAATATTGAGATATTTTGGGGTACAGCATAGAGGAAAAAGCTGATTGTGGGGTACAGACTAGTGTACAGAATAGCACAGAATTTGAGGGTATAATGTACAGGATATGACAGTTTGGGGCACAGTGTACAGGATAAAATGTACAGGATGAGGCAGGTTTTGGAGTACAGAGTACAAAACAGGGAAGATGTTTGTTTTTTTGGGGGGGGGCAGTGTACAAGATAGGGCAGAGTTTGGGATATAATGTACAGGATGAGACAGATTTTGGGGGTACAGAGTAAAAAACAGGGTAGATTTGGGGGGAGCAGTGTACAGGATGAGGCAGAGCTTGGGGTAGTGTGCAAGATAGGGCAGATTTTGGGGTACCATGTACAGGACGAGGTAGAGCTTGGGGTAGTGTGCAAGATAGGGCAGATTTTGGGGTACCATGTACAGGACGAGGCAGAGTTTGGGGTACAATGTACAGGACGAGGCAGAGTTTGGGGTACAATGTACAGGACGAGGCAGAGTTTGGGGTACAATGTACAGGACGAGGCAGAGTTTGGGGTACAATGTACAGGAGGAGGCAGAGTTTGGGGTACAATGTACAGGAGGAGGCAGAGTTTGGGGTACAGAGTACAGAACAAGGCAGACTTTGGGGTGTAGTGTACAACATCTAGCAGAATGAGGCCTCATCAATAAAGAAGACACGAGTGAAGACATTTATCAGGCTGTAATGTGTGGACTTATCATTACACAGGAAGTTCACTCTGAATCCACGATTGGGCCGGTTTTTGCATATGACGCTGCCATGTCACTTGTACACATGTGAACCTTCCGGAAGTTTCTTGCTGCCAACAATCCGTGTGACATTCTGTGTCCACTCCAGAATGTCAGGTGGTGGCTGCTGGAGGACCTCAGACTGACCCTGGGGCAAGCTGGAAAGTGCTTAAGTCTGAAACACAGAAAAGACCTTCAGCTGCTCTGTATATTAACCCTCAAAGTACCAGACTCACAGGAAACTGGGTACAACCTTCATGGCCCAAATCACTAGAGATCCATCCATTCCGCTGCTGCTGAAGGAGAAACTGTCATCCCCTTCTCGGTCCAGGGCCAGGAGCTGGCTGGAGAAAGACAGCAAAGTGACAACCTATACAAAGCCCACTGTCTAACCCTACACATGGTGTCAGGAAACTTCACTGAGGCATTAGGGCTGGAGGGTTAGTAAGTGTTAGGTGATAGGTGGATGACGGTTGAGCGTTTAGTGTTAGAGGACAGGATTTAGTAAGGGTTAGGTGATAGGTGGATGACGGTTGAGCGTTCGGTGTTGGAGGAGAGGATTTAGTAAGGGTTAGGTGATAGGTGGATGACGGTTGAGCGTTCGGTGTTGGAAGACAGGATTTAGTAAGGGTTAGGTGATAGGTGGATGAGGGTTGAGCGTTCGGTGTTAGAGGAGAGGATTTAGTAAGGGTTAGGTGATAGGTGGATGAGGGTTGAGCGTTCGGTGTTGGAGGACAGGATTTAGTAAGGGTTAGGTGATAGGTGGATGACGGTTGAGCGTTCGGTGTTGGAAGACAGGATTTAGTAAGGGTTAGGTGATAGGTGGATGAGGGTTGAGCGTTCGGTGTTGGAGGAGAGGATTTAGTAAGGGTTAGGTGATAGGTGGATGAGGGTTGAGCGTTCGGTGTTGGAGGACAGGATTTAGTAAGGGTTAGGTGATAGGTGGATTGACGGATAGTGGATGACGGTTGAGCGTTCGGTGTTGGAAGACAGGATTTAGTAAGGGTTAGGTGATAGGTGGGTGAGGGTTTGAGCGTTCGGTGTTAGAGGAGAGGATTTAGTAAGGGTTAGGTGATAGGTGGATGACGGTTGAGCGTTTAGTGTTAGAGGAGAGGATTTAGTAAGGGTTAGGTGATAGGTGGATGAGGGTTGAGCGTTTGGTGTTAGAGGAGAGGATTTAGTAAGGGTTAGGTGATAGGTGGATGAGGGTTGAGCGTTCGGTGTTGGAGGAGAGGATTTAGTAAGGGTTAGGTGATAGGTGGATGAGGGTTGAGCGTTCGGTGTTGGAGGACAGGATTTAGTAAGGGTTAGGTGATAGGTGGATGAGGGTTGAGCGTTCGGTGTTGGAGGACAGGATTTAGTAAGGGTTAGGTGATAGGTGGATGACGGTTGAGCGTTCGGTGTTAGAGGAGAGGATTTAGTAAGGGTTAGGTGATAGGTGGATGAGGGTTGAGCGTTTAGTGTTAGAGGAGAGGATTTAGTAAGGGTTAGGTGATAGGTGCATGAGGGTTGAGCGTTCGGTGTTGGAGGAGAGGATTTAGTAAGGGTTAGGTGATAGGTGGATGACGGTTGAGCGTTCGGTGTTGGGTGTTGGAGAGGGATTTAGTAAGGGTTAGGTGATAGGTGGATGACGGTTTGAGCGTTCGGTGTTGGAGGAGGAGAGGATTTAGTAAGGGTTAGGTGATAGGTGGATGACGGTTGAGCGTTCGGTGTTGGAGGACAGGATTTAGTAAGGGTTAGGTGATAGGTGCATGAGGGTTGAGCGTTCGGTGTTGGAGGAGAGGATTTAGTAAGGGTTAGGTGATAGGTGGATGAGGGTTGAGCGTTCGGTGTTGGAGGACAGGATTTAGTAAGGGTAGGTGATAGGTGGATGAGGGTTGAGCGTTCGGTGTTGGAGGACAGGATTTAGTAAGGGTTAGGTGATAGGTGGATGACGGTTGAGCGTTCGGTGTTGGAGGAGAGGATTTAGTAAGGGTTAGGCGATAAGTGGATGACGGTTGAGCGTTCGGTGTTGGAAGACAGGATTTAGTAAGGGTTAGGTGATAGGTGCATGAGGGTTGAGCGTTTAGTGTTGGAGGACAGGATTTAGTAAGGGTTAGGTGATAGGTGGATGAGGGTTGAGCGTTCGGTGTTGGAGGAGAGGATTTAGTAAGTGTTAGGTGATAGAAACTAGTGTTGGGCATTAAGGGTACTGCATTAGTAAAGAGTTGGGGTGGTTGAGGTGTTAGATAAAGGGTTACATGCTGGGAGAGCTGTAGAATTTAGGAGACTTTTTAGGCAGGGGACATGTAGAAGAACTTTGTGAACTTTTGTGCACTGATAGTCTTACAAACTCTCATAAACAAAGGCGTTGGCAGCACCAATCAGTTGTCCTGTCACTGTCTTCCCTGCACATGAGTGGAGTTTTCTTCTCACCTGATGCTGTTTTGGTGCAAGGTGTTGGTGTCTAAGCCATCATCCTCTTGGACGGCCTTCTTGTCCAAATTGCGGAAATGCTGCATGGCCGACACGGCCAATTTTGAGGACTGCTTCTGAGCATCAATCCTGCTGACTAACTGGATGTTTTCAGGTCCAGAGTAGGAGAAGAGATAGGGGGCACAGTCATGGCCCTAGTGGAAACAAAAAGGTACAATGTGATCAGGGTGACCCCAGAACATAAAAGGGACACTTCCTGCCCCAGAGATTACGAATTATTATTCTTATAGCAAGTGATGAAAATAGAAGCTCCATCAGCCTGGAGGGATCATCTTACAGCAGCCACCAGCCGGGTCTCATTCACAAATAGAAGCGACAGGAAGGGAAGCTTGTCTGTCCGCAGCTCGCTGACTCTGTAATGGAGAAGACAGGAAAGGCAGTGAACAGGTGTTGTCACAGGGCCAGGACTGACACTCCAACACGCCATTCACACACAGATATACGAATGATGTTCACAGGGGAGGGAACCAGCAGTCTGCATGAAGGGGGATTCTCAGCGAAGAGCGGAGTGCAGGTAGCGCACTACAACCAGGGCGGCAGCCGCATTTTCTGCAAGCCAAACCCCAACACACGGCCATTCTTGTTTCTGTACTGTACACTATAGGGTGCTAAAAGGTCGGGGACACCTTCAGGCGCCCTAAGGAGAGTAATCATGAACAGTGGGTGTGGCCAAATTGTGTTAATGGGAGGGGCTTAAAGGGGCATGGTTAAATAAAATAAAAGCATTTCTGCAGGCATAAACTATGCTGTGATTGCTGTGCCACAAGGAAGAGTCTCACAGACACGTAGATCTCAGCACAAGCAACACTCCCAATACATACCATTTGTGTCCACAGAAAACCAGGGATTACTTAGCAACCAGCAACAATGAACACGCTGGTGAAGTATATCATGTACAATATAGTGTATATTAAGGTGTGTATGACCCCCCAGGTCAGTCTGCCCCCCGTACGACCCCCCAGGTCAGTCTGCCCCCCCCATACGACCCCCCAGGTCAGTCTGCCCCCCTGTACGACCTCCCAGGTCAGTCTGCCCCCCGTACGACCCCCCAGGTCAGTCTGCCCCCCCCCTACGACCCCCCAGGTCAGTCTGCCCCCCTGTAACGACCCCCCAGGTCAGTCTGCCCCCCGTACGACCCCCCAGGTCAGTCTGCCCCCCGTACGACCCCCCAGGTAGTCTGCCCCCCCGACCCCCCAGGTCAGTCTGCCCCCCTGTACGACCCCCCAGGTCAGTCTGCCCCCCGTACGACCCCCCAGGTCAGTCTGCCCCCCCCATACGACCCCCCAGGTCAGTCTGCCCCCCTGTACGACCCCCCAGGTCAGTCTGCCCCCCGTACGACCCCCCAGGTCAGTCTGCCCCCCTGTACGACCCCCCAGGTCAGTCTGCCCCCCCATACGACCCCCCAGGTCAGTCTTCCCCCCTGTACGACCCCCCAGGTCAGTCTGCCCCCCCATACGACCCCCCAGGTCAGTCTGCCCCCGTACGACCCCCCAGGTCAGTCTGCCCCTAGTACAATCCCTCAAAGGTCAATATCCCCCCCAGTACAACCCTCGGTATGATCCCAGAGGTCAGTCTGCCCCCAGTACAATCCCTCCCCCCAGTTCAGGTGGAAAGAGTCATCTCATGGGCGAATGACACCAGTGGACCAGCCTTGTGACAGAGGTGTCAGGCAGCCCTCCCTGTACACAGCTCATACACATTACACAGGTGCTGCTACTAGACACAGTCAGCCTGCTAATCTCCCTCATCCCCAACCAGTCTCTGACTACAGGCACCAAGCTAAATTAGAGGGGATCGCTATCTTCCACAAGCACCTCCTACCTGTGTAACACCCAAAAAAAAAAAAAAAACACCTCTTGGGACCCCCACACAGTCAGTCAGCTGCTGGTTTGCTTCTCTCAATCACCATGTTGGTGCTCGGGCTCCGGCTATCAAGGACTGTCAGTGATCTCGCTCATGTGTAACAATGCTGCGGCAGGCAGAGTGAGAGCTGGGCCGGCATAGGCAGTGAGGCCGGCCCGGGCATAGACGGGGACATGGACTGAGGGGGAGAAGAGGGGACCTCACGCAGAGTGGTGCATGGCCCCCCTGCACTTGTATTAGGGGTTTGCATGAGTTACCAAGTGCCATATTTCTGCCTAGAAGGAACCAGAGCTCTGGGTACCCTGTTATAATGTGGCTGAAACCCGGACACATGAATAAATACCCAGACTGGGTGAATTCCAGAGTGGTGACAACCCTAGACCTGAGGGGTGCATGGTGATATCCCTGGGAACATTGGGCAGGATGTACTGTATGGGCACAGGAACCATCATGGGGAACAGCGGCAGATCTTACATTTTGTCTTGGGTCGAGTCGGCCACATTGATGCAGCTGTTGTGGTCCACCCAGGCCAGATACTGACCACTGGGAGAGAAGCATACGCCGTGCACCCAACCTCCGCTTTTGCCTCTCTCAAACAGAAGCTCCCCAAATGGCATCTTCGTCCCCCAAAATGTTGGGCTGGGCTTGTCTTCAATTTCCTTCACATATGCTGAGAAAACTCTGAAGGAAAAAACAGAGATCGTTGCAGGGCCACCAACACTATAATTCCAGCGCCATCATAGGCAAACATTGTTATTACACCCCATAAAGAGCCCATGTCCCCCACCCCATCCACAGGGATCTGTACACCTCGATGGGGGCCCGGAGCACTGCACCAGCCTCAGTTTATACCTGCACTGGAAGTCACATCCACCGGCTGCCAGCAGAAAACGTTGTTGGGGTGCCAGGCCAGGCTCAGGATGGTGGAACGAATGGACTTCTTGATGTGTTTGCTGATCCACCTAGAAGTAGAGGAGAAAGTCATGCAAATGACAAGAAAGATGCCGGCCGCCCCAGCAGTTGCTGCTAGAGATGTAACATCTAAAGCCATGGGGGAAAAAGTGCTATGGGGGGGCCAGGAGAGAAACTGTATGGGGGGGCCAGGAGAGAACTGTACGGAGGGGAAAGGGGGGCAAGAGAGAATTGTATGGGGGGGGGGCAGGAGAGAACTGTACGGAGGGGAAGGGGGGCAAGAGAGAATTGTATGGGGGGGGGGCAGGAGAGAACTGTACGGAGGGGAAGGGGGGCAAGAGAGAATTGTATGGGGGGGGGGGCAGGAGAGAACTGTACGGAGGGGAAGGGGGGCAAGAGAGAATTGTATGGGGGGGGGGGGCAGGAGAGAACTGTACGGAGGGGAAGGGGGCAAGAGAGAATTGTATGGGGGGGGGCAGGAGAGAACTGTACGGAGGGGAAGGGGGGCAACGAGAGAATTGTATGGGGGGGGGGGGCAGGAGAGAACTGTACGGAGGGGAAGGGGGGCAAGAGAGAATTGTATGGGGGGGGGCAGGAGAGAACTGTACGGAGGGGAAGGGGGGCAAGAGAGAATTGTATGGGGGGGGGGGCAGGAGAGAACTGTACGGAGGGGAAGGGGGGCAAGAGAGAATTGTATGGGGGGGGGGCAGGAGAGAACTGTACGGAGGGGAAGGGGGGCAAGAGAGAATTGTATGGGGGGGGGGGGAGAGAGAGAACTGTACGGAGGGGAAGGGGGGCAAGAGAGAATTGTATGGGGGGGGGGGGCAGGAGAGAACTGTACGGAGGGGAAGGGGGGCAAGAGAGAATTGTATGGGGGGGGGGCAGGAGAGAACTGTACGGAGGGGAAGGGGGGCAAGAGAGAATTGTATGGGGGGGGGGGGGCAGGAGAGAACTGTACGGAGGGGAAGGGGGCAAGAGAGAATTGTATGGGGGGGGGGGCAGGAGAGAACTGTACGGAGGGGAAGGGGGGCAAGAGAGAATTGTATGTGGGGGGGGGGGGGGGGGCAGGAGAGAACTGTACGGAGGGGAAGGGGGGCAAGAGAGAATTGTATGGGGGGGGGGGGGCAGGGGCAGGAGAGAGACTGTACGGAGGGGAAGGGGGGCAAGAGAGAATTGTATGGGGGGGGGCAGGAGAGAACTGTACGGAGGGGGAAGGGGGGCAAGAGAGAATTGTATGGGGGGCAGGAGAGAACTGTATGGGGGGGCAGGGGCAGGAGAGAGAAACTGTACGGAGGGGAAGGGGGGCAAGAGAGAATTGTATGGGGGGGGGGGCAGGAGAGAGAACTGTACGGAGGGGAAGGGGGGCAAGAGGAGAATTGTATGTGGGGGGGGGGGCGGGGGGCAGGAGAGAACTGTACGGAGGGGAAGGGGGGCAAGCTCAGAGAATTGTATGTGGGGGGGGGGCAGGGGCAGGAGAGAACTGTACGGAGGGGAAGGGGGGCAAGAGAGAATTGTATGGATATGGGGGGGGGGGGGGCAGGAGAGAACTGTACGGAGGGGAAGGGGGGCAAGAGAGAATTGTATGGGGGGGGGGGAGGAGAGAACTGTATGGGGGGGGGGGGCAGGAGAGAACTGTACGGAGGGGAAGGGGGGCAAGAGAGAATTGTATGGGGGGGGGGGGCAGGAGAGAACTGTACGGAGGGGAAGGGGGGCAAGAGAGAATTGTATGGGGGGGGGGGGCAGGAGAGAACTGTACGGAGGGGAAAGGGGGGCAAGAGAGAATTGTATGGGGGGGGGGGGCAGGAGAGAACTGTACGGAGGGGAAGGGGGGGCAAGAGAGAATTGTATGGGGGGGGGGGGGCAGGAGAGAACTGTACGGAGGGGAAGGGGGGCAAGAGAGAATTGTATGGGGGGGGGCAGGAGGAAGGGAGGGGAAGGGGGGCAAGAGAGAAACTGTAGGAGGAGAGAACTCGTACGGAGGGGAAGGGGGGGGCAAGAGAGAATTGTATGTGGGGGGGGGGGGCGGGGGGGGGCAGGAGAACTGTACGGAGGGGAAGGGGGGCAAGAGAGAATTGTATGTGGGGGGGGGGGGGCAGGGGCAGGAGAGAACTGTACGGAGGGGAAGGGGGGCAAGAGAGAATTGTATGTGGGGGGGGGGGGGGGCAGGAGAGAACTGTACGGAGGGGAAGGGGGGCAAGAGAGAATTGTATGGGGGGGGCAGGAGAGAAATTGTATGGGGGGGCAGGGGGGCAGGAGAGAAACTGTACGGAGGGGAAGGGGGGCAAGAGAGAATTGTATTGGGGGGGGGGGCAGGAGAGAACTGTACGGAGGGGAAGGGGGGCAAGAGAGAATTGTATGGGGGGGGGCAGGAGAGAACTGTACGGAGGGGAAGGGGGGCAAGAGAGAATTGTATGTGGGGGGGGGGGCAGGGGAGAGAGAACTGTAAGAAGGGGAAGGGGGGAAGGGGAAGGGGGGGGGCAGAGAGAGAATGTATGGGGGGGGGGGGGGCAGGAGAGAACTGTACGGAGGGGAAGGGGGGCAAGAGAGAATTGTATGGGGGGGGGGGCAGGAGAGAGAACTGTATGGAGGGGAAGGGGGGCAAGAGAGAATTGTATGGGGGGGGGGGGGGGGGGGGGGGGGGCAGGAGAGAACTGTACGGAGGGGAAGGGGGGCAAGAGAGAATTGTATGGGGGGGGGGGCAGGGGCAGGAGAGAGAACTGTACGGAGGGGGAAGGGGGGCAAGAGAGAGAATTGTATGGGGGGGGGGGCAGGGGCAGGAGAGAACTGTACGGAGGGGAAGGGGGGCAAGAGAGAATTGTATGGGGGGGGGGGGCAGGAGAGAAACTGTATGGGGGGGGGGCAGGAGAGAACTGTACGGAGGGGGAGGGGGGCAAGAGAGAATTGTATGGGGGGGGGCAGGAGAGAACTGTATGGGGGGGGGGGGGCAGGAGAGAGAAGAGAAAACTGTACGGAGGGGAAGGGGGGCAAGAGAGAATTGTATGTGGGGGGGGGGGCAGGGGCAGGAGAGAACTGTACGGAGGGGAAGGGGGGCAAGAGAGAATTGTATGGGGGGGGGGCAGGAGATAACTGTACGGAGGGGAAGGGGGGCAAGAGAGAATTGTATGGGGGGGGGGCAGGAGAGAACTGTACGGAAGGGAAGGGGGGCAAGAGAGAGAATTGTATGGGGGGGGGCAGGAGAGAACTGTACGGAGGGGAAGGGGGGCAAGAGAGAATTGTATGTGTGGGGGGGGGGGGGGGGGGGCAGGAGAGAACTGTATGGGGGGGGGGGGCAGGAGATAACTGTACGGAGGGGAAGGGGGGCAAGAGAGAATTGTATGGGGGGGGGGGGGTGGGCAGGAGAGAGAACTGTATGGGGGGGGGGCAGGAGAGAACTGTACGGAGGGGAAGGGGGGGCAAGAGGAATTGTATGGGGGGGGCAGGAGAGAACTGTACGGAGGGGAAGGGGGGCAAGAGAGAATTGTATGGGGGGGGGGGCAGGAGAGAACTGTATGGGGGGGGGGGGGGCAGGAGAGAACTGTACAGAGGGGAAGGGGGGCAAGAGAGAACTGTATGGGGGGGGGGGCAGGAGAGAACTGTACGAAGGGGAAGGGGGGCAAGAGGGAACTGTATGGGGGGGGGCAGGTGAGAACTGTACGGAGGGGAAGGGGGGCAAGAGAGAGAGATTGTATGTGGGGGGGGGGGGGCAGGAGAGAACTGTACGGAGGGGAAGGGGGGCAAGAGAGAATTGTATGGGGGGGGGCAGGAAGAGAACTGTATGGGGGGGCAGAGGGCAGCAGGAGGAGAAACTGTACGGAGGGGAAGGGGGGCAAGAGAGAATTGTATGGGGGGGGGCAGGAGAGAACTGTACGGAGGGGAAGGGGGGCAAGGAGAATTGTATGGGGGGGGGCAGGAGAGAACTGTACGGGAGGGGAAGGGGGGCAAGAGAGAATTGTATGTGGGGGGGGGGGCAGGAGAGAAATGTAAGAAGGGGAAAGGGGGGGGGCAAGGAGAGAATTGTATGGAGGGGGCATGGGGGAGAGAAACTGTGGGGGGGGGGGGGCAGGAGAGAACTGTACGGAGGGGGGGGGGGGGCAGAGAGAATGTATGGGGGGGGGGCAGGAGAGAACTGTATGGAGGGGAAGGGGGGCAAGAGAGAATTGTATGTGGGGGGGGGGGCAGGGGGGCAGGAGAGAACTGTACGGAGGGGAAGGGGGGCAAGAGAGAATTGTATGTGGGGGGGGCAGGGGCAGGAGAGAACTGTACGGAGGGGAAGGGGGGCAAGAGAGAATTGTATGGGGGGGGGGCAGGAGAGAACTGTACGGAGGGGAAGGGGGGCAGAGAGAGAATTGTATGGGGGGGGGGGCAGGAGAGAACTGTATGGGGGGGGGGGCAGGAGATAACTGTACGGAGGGGGAGGGGGGCAAGAGAGAGAGATTGTATGGGGGGGGGGGCAGGAGAGAACTGTATGGGGGGGGGGGGGCAGGAGAGAACTGTACGGAGGGGAAGGGGGGCAAGAGAGAATTGTATGTGGGGGGGGGGGCAGGGGCAGGAGAGAACTGTACGGAGGGGAAGGGGGGCAGAGAGAATTGTATGGGGGGGGGGGCAGGGATAACTGTACGGAGGGGAAGGGGGGCAAGAGAGAATTGTATGGGGGGGGGCAGGAGAGAGAACTGTACGGAAGGGAAGGGGGGCAAGAGAGAATTGTATGGGGGGGGGCAGGAGAGAACTGTACGGAGGGGAAGGGGGGCAAGAGAGAATTGTATGGGGGGGGGGGGGCGGGGGCAGGAGAGAACTGTATGGGGGGGGGCAGGAGAGAAACTGTACGGAGGGGAAGGGGGGCAAGAGAGAATTGTATGGGGGGGGGGGGGGGAAGGCAGGAGAGAACTGTATGGGGGGGGGCAGGAGAGAACTGTACGGAGGGGAAGGGGGGCAAGAGAGAATTGTATGGGGGGGGCAGGAGAGAACTGTACGGAGGGGAAGGGGGGCAAAGAGAGAATTGTATGGGGGGGGGGGGCAGGAGGAGAACTGTATGGGGGGGGGCAGGAGAGAACTGTACAGAGGGGAAGGGGGGCAAGAGAGAAACTGTATGGGGGGGGGCAGGAGAGAACTGTACGAAGGGGAAGGGGGGCAAGAGGGAACTGTATGGGGGGGGGGGGCAGGTGAGAACTGTACGGACCGGAAGGGGGGCAAGAGAGAATTGTATGGGGGGGGCAGGAGAGAACTGTACGGAGGGGAAGGGGGGCAAGAGAGAAATGTATGGGGGGGGGCAGGGGAGAACTGTACGGAGGGGAAGGGGGGCAAGAGAGAACTGTATGGGGGGGGGGGGCAAGAGAGAACTGTATGGAGGGGAAGGGGGGGGGGGAAGAGAAAAACTGTATGGGGGGGGCAGAGGAGAAGAGTACGGAGGGGAAGAGGGCAAGAAGGGAACTGTATGGGGGGGGGGCAAGAGAACTGTATGGGGGTGGGGGGGTAGGAGGGAAGAGTACGGGGGGGGGAAGAAAGGGGCAAGGGAAAAAGTATGGGGGGGGGGGGACCAGGTAGGGAGGGAAAGGGAAGAGTACAGGGGGGACAGAAAAGCACAGTACAGTATCAGGGGGCCAGGAAGGAACAGTACAGGGGGGCAAGGAAGGAATTGTATATGGGGGGACAGGGGGAACATTATGGGGGGGAGGAAAACTGAATGAACTTTATAGGGGGAGGAAGGAACAGTATGAGGGGGGCAAAGGACAGTATGGGGGGGGGGGGTTGGAACAGTATGGGGGGAACAGTGTAGGTGGGAGAAGGAACAGTATAGGGGGGCCAGGAAGGAACAGTAGGGTGAGGGGGGGGCAGGAAGGAACAGTATGGGGGGGGGGGCAGGAAAGGAACAGTATGGGGGGCAGGAAGGAACAGTATGGGGGGGGGCAGGAAAGGAACAGTATGGGGGGGGGGCAGGAAGGAACAGTATGGGGGGGGGCAGGAAGGAACAGTATGGGGGGGGGGGGGCAGGGGGGGGGGCAGGAAGGAACAGTATGGGGGGGGGCAGGAAGGAACAGTATGGGGGGGGGCAGGAAGGAACAGTATGGGGGGGGGCAGGAAGGAACAGTATGGGGGGGGCAGGAAGGAACAGTATGGGGGGGGCAGGGAAGGAACAGTATGGGGGGGGCAGGAAGGAACAGTATGGGGGGGCTCAGGAAGGCTTCTGGAGGGGTCTGGCGCACTGATCCTCACCCGCGCTCCTCTCTCATCTCCCCCTACTGATGTCACACACAGGCACCTGGGGCAGGCAGGGGGGGGTCGGCTGGTATTGGCGCTTCCCTCTGCAGCTCTATGACTCGACTTTCAGCTACGTGGGGATGTGATCTGGACGGGCAGATCCTGGCGGAACCCCTGGGGACCTCTCATGGAACCCACGGATGAGAAACACTGATCTAGATGTTGGTCTCACCATTTACTGAGAGGAGGACAAGAAAAAAGAATTTACTGAGCAGACTACAGGGAAACATGATGCTGTGATGGTGGTGTGGGGGGGGGGGGGTGTGGGGGGGGGGGGTGGGGGTTATTTATAGGAATCATATAAAGGTTATAAAGATAAACTCTTTTTTCAGACAAATGTCCCCTCCTACCTGTCCATGAAGGCCCGAGAGGACAGCCACTATCATCTACTGTATCCCAATCACCCAACTGTAGGAGGTACAAGGTGGAGCCCACAAGCAAACTAAACTGGAGCCTTTCCCCTGCAGTGCCCCAAGTGGCAGAAATGCAGATTTCTCTTGTTTGATAACTGCATTGAGAAGTAAAGTGTTACTTGAACTGTATTCCAGGATTTGTCTTCAGCTTTACATAAAGTCTCAGAAATCTTTCATTAAGCTCTTCGTGTTATACAGTTTGAATACCACATATCAATAGATATATTATTTATCATTGTAAAAGAACAGGATTACACTTTTTTTTTTGTTTTGGGGGGGGGGGGGGGGAGAGGCTTTGGGACAAAAAAAGTGTTGGGGGGGCGAAAAAACAAAACAAAACAAAAACATTCCCCAGTTTTCTCATTTTTTTCCCCACAGGCTTTCCCATCTTCCATTGCTGTTTGGAAATGAGGACATATAACAGTCCAGCTACAGTAGCAAGAAAAAGTATGTTGACCCCCTTGGGATTACGTGGCGTTTTGCATGAATTGGGCATAAAATGTGCTCTGAACGTCATCTAAGTCACAACAATAGAAGAACACAGTCTGCTGAACATTAATACTACACAAAAACATTAGATGTTGCCATGGTTTCATTGCACATAACATGTAAACATTCACAGTGCAGGGAGGAAAAAGTAGTATGGGAACCTTTGGACTTAATAACTGGTTGACCCTCCTTTGGCAGCAATAACCTCAACCAAAACGTTTCCCTGCAGTTGCAGATCAGACCTGCACAAAACGATCTGGAGTTCATTTTGGACCACTCCTCTTCATACAAAACTGTTTCAGTGTAGCAATTATTCTTGGGATGTCTGGTGGAATCGCTCTCTTAAGGTCATGCCACAGAGCATTTCAATGGGGTTTATTGTTGAGGTCAGGACTCTGACTGGGCCACTCCAGAAGGCGTATTCTGTGTGCTGTTGCAGCCATTGTTTTGTTGTTGAATGACTTGTATGCTTTGGGTCATCATTGTCCTGTTGCATCACCATCCTTCTGCGGAGCTTCAGCTTCAGTTGGCGGACAGATGGTCGTAACTACGTTTTTCCTGCAAAAATGTCTTGAATTCAAACTCTGGATTTCATTTTCCCATCAATGACAACAATCGTCCAGCCCTGAGGCAGCAAAGCAGCCCCAAAACCATGATGCTCCCTCCGCCTCCGCATGTTTCACAGTGGGGATGAGGTTTTGATGTTGGTGTGCTGGGCCTGTTTTTTTCTCCACACATAGTGTTGTGTGTTCTTCTGCCAAACAACTCAATCTTGGTGTCATCTGTTGTCCACAGTATATTCTGCCAGTTAGATGCTGTGGAACATCCAGGTGCTCTTTTGCAAACTTCAAACATGCTGCAATATTCTTTTTGGACAGCAATGGCTTCCTCCGTGTAGTGTCCTCCCATGTACTCCATTCTTGTTTCATGTTTTCCTGATTGTAGATGTGTCAACAAAAATGTTAGCATGTGCCGGGAGATTTTTCTGTAGGTCTTTAGCTGACACTCTGGGATTCTTCTTATACCTCATGCAGCATTCTCTGCGCTGTGCTCTTGCAGTCATTTTTTATTACAGGACGACCACTGCCTAGGGAGAGTATAGCAACAGTGCTAAAACTTTCTCCATTTGTAGACAGTCTGTCTTACCGTGGACACAGGAACATCAAGGCTCAAGGAGAATACTTTTGTAACCCTTTCCAGCTTCATGCAAGTCACAACAATTACTTGATGTAGGTCTTCTGAGAGCTCTTTTCTGGCGAGGCAATGGTTCACATCAGACAGTGCTTCTTGAAAACCAGTAAACCCAAAACAGGTCTCATGTCAGCAGCACATCCAATATCATCCTCACTGTACTGAGATTGGAGTCAAAGGTTGGCTCACTCCTTGGCTCCAATTAGCTCTGGGGGATAGTCAGTTAAGCTAGGGGGCTCACAATACTTTTTCCTCCCTGCACTGTGAATGTTTACATGTTACGTGCAATTAAACCATGGCAACATCTAATGTTTGTGTAGTATTTTATGTTCAGCAGACTGTGTTCTCTTCTATTGTTTGTGACTTATTGTTGAGCCAGGCTACCTGGTGCTGTGTGTCTTCCCAGTCTCTGGGGACAATTCACGTACCCCCACACCAACACCCCATAGGAGCAGTCTCTTCATTCTTTCTGATATGCCCCACCACCCCTCTTACATACCCTAAAATACCTCACACAATCATTCTCCTTCTCGAAGTAACAAAATGGAAATGGTCTGTGAGCCGCTGCCAACCGCAATCTTGTTCTCCTTCTCCTGGAGACCACTTCACACACTGCGTGGCAGCCCACGGTTAAACGCAGCAGAACCAAGGTCGGCTTCCACAATCACCATCATCACGGAGAAGAAGGATGAGTCCACACGTAGGCGTTCCTGTCCCACACGGGCGCAGGGGGTCACAATTTCGGTTAGAGTTTGGAGCCCAGGCTAGATTATCCATGCAACACATTACAATGGTATGGTCAGGGCAGGAGAAACGGTGGTATCACCTGGAAGATATGGCCGGGGATTTATCTGTCTCTTACTCTCAAAATATATTCATGGTTCTGCAAGAATCATTCACAAATCAGGAATTTATCCGGCCATCATGAGTGCTAGGATTATCTGCAGATTGGACAGACAAATCCTAACAGTTAACCCCAGAGGCAGCCATTGTCCCTTCAGTCCATTACTTACTTTACAAAGATGAAACGCTGCAATCACACACATACTATCGCAGGCCCGCCTCCATGTGTTTCCTCCATGGTGCTGCCGGTCTTGTCTACTTTAACGTCTGTGCTAGCAAAGAGATGATTCTAGGACAGGCAATCCTTTATTGGGGTGCTGGGCAGATTTCATATACAAGCAAACATCAGTGTCATACAATAATGAACACACTTATTCTCCGCCAGTAGCCTCATACACTATACACACAACACATGCACAACTGCACATGCGGGCGGCACAATCAAGGTGAGTCTTTGAATGACTCCAACAGGGCATGGTCTGCATCGGCCATCTCCCATTCATTTTGTTTCAGGCCCGAAAACAAAAAAAACTTCTCAGTTTGGAATTCTTCATAAGGGGCCCACTCAGTGTTGACTTTTTTTTGGTATACATCTGGACATGTCCAGGGTTACTGGGAGGGGTGGGGTGGATGAAATGAGGTAACTTAAACCTACAATCCCATTCAATCGACGACATTCATCATCACAGGGGCCCCTCCAAAAGGACGGGGGGTCACGGTACATTCTCGTATACTTAGGAACCAGAAATCGTTTTAATTGTCTTACCCCAAAACTAACAAAGAAATACACATGATAAAAATGACAGCCGCACAGCCACAATGTAACGGCTAGCGGACAACACGGGGGCAATAGCACCATGGGCGAGCCAGAATTTCTACTAACTACATACTACTGTGCCATCCTTTGAAAACACTGAGGGACAAGGTATAAGGTAATCTATCCCAAAGAACTGTAGCAGGGACATGGCTCGGGCTGTTACATGGTGGTAATAATATCTAAAAAGAAAAAATTGACATGCGGGGGGGGGCAAGTAGGGACTGTACACCATTATTCACGGATGTTCACCAGGATTCGATGCGCTCTGCATCTGGGAGACCACACGTCCACGTGGACAAGATCAGACAACAATCCTACAAGAAGCGTGTCAGCGAAAATGGAGGATTCCAGGACAAACATTCCTGACATGGCTCAGATCTGTCTGAACACCACTGTGGACGGCAACATGTCCAACCCCTTGTTCCCTATCACTGTTGAAAGGGAAATCTATCCAAACCAAACGGTATGGAGGCATCACTATCATATGTTGAAACTAGGGAACGTCCATCAGTACTACTGACCAACACACGCCAAAGCCATTTACCTTGCTTCAACACCGCACAAGGAGCCACCCAAAGCTTGGTGCATTACCCAACAGACCGCAACACGCCCAAAGCCATGTGCATTACCCAACAGACCGCAACACGCCAAAGCCATGTGCATTACCCCAACAGACCAACAGACCGCAAACACCAAAGCCATGTGCATTACCCAACCAGAGCACAACATGCCAAAGCCATTGCATTACCCAATGCACTGTGACTCACCAATCTCATGTTTACATTACTCAAGCACACTGTTTGGCACGCCAAAGCCATGTGCAGTACCCAACACACTCTGGCACACCAAAGCCATGTACATTACCCAACAGAGGCACAACACGCCAAAGCCATGTACATTACCCAACAGAGCACAACACGCCAAAGCCATGTGCAGTACCCAACAGACTGCGACACGCCAAAGCCATGTGCATTACCCAACAGACCGCGACGCGCCAAAGCCATGTGCATTTTACCCAACAGACCGCGACAACGCCAAAGCCATGTGCATTACCCAACAGACCACGATACGCCAAAGCCATGTACATCACCCAACAGACCGCAACAACACGCTAAAGCCATGTACATTACACAACACAGTGACTTGCCTATCTCATGTACATTATCCAACACAACCCCCAATATTCCCATGTGCATTACCCAACACACCAGTCCCATGTGCATTACCCAACACACACCAGTCCCATGTGTGTTACCTAAAACAACAGGACAGAAATCCTGGGTACATTACCCAACACACACACAACTTGCAAACCCCATGTGCATTACCCACCGCACCAATCCCATGTACATTATCAAACACCTCACAACACACAAATCCTATGTACATTATCCAACACACCAGTCACATGTACATTACCCAACAAAACACCAATCCCATGTACATTACCCAACCCACCACAACATGCCAATCCCATGTACATTACCCAACTCACCATGCCATGCCAATTCCTTGTGTAGAACCCAACGCACCACAACACACTAATCCTATGTACATTACCAACACACCACAACATGCCAATCTCATGTACATTATCCAACACACCACGACACGCCAATCCCATGTACATTATCCAACACATCATGCCATGCCAATTACTTGTGTAGCACCCAACACTACTACAACACTCCAATCCCATGTACATTATGCAACACACCACGACACGCCAATCCCATGTACATTATCCAACACATCATGCCATGCCAATTACTTGTGTAGCACCCAACACACTACAACACTCCAATCCCATGTACATTATGCAACACACCACGACACGCCAATCCCATGTACATTACCCAACACACTGCGACACACCAAACCCATGTACAGTACCCAACACACAATGGCAGAATATATCAATGTAGATCTGTCAGGAGGGAGCGATGTTCTGCAGAGATCATTGCATTAATAGTTCTCTCACCCGGTGCTCTGTGCTGGGATGTTGCACACTCGGTAGTCCGGCTCAGGGTGGAGACATTCAGGTATTTCATGTTACCTCTGGCGCTCACCTGAGCTCAGGTATGCTGAGTGGGAGGGACAATGGTGAAGAAATCAGCGTGTTGGACATTCCTATAATACACAATACAAGATTCCCGGAGCCCAGAGACACAACAAAGACAGATGAAGAAATGGAAAATCCTCATTGACTATGAAAAACCGTCCCTTCTGTCCATGGAATAAACCCCGGGATCCGTGCGCCCGCAGAATAAACCCCGGGATCCGTGCGCCCGCAGAATAAAACCCCGGGATCCGTGCGCCCGCAGAATAAACCCCGGGATCCGTGCGCCCGCAGAATAAACCCCGGGATCCGTGCGCCCCGCAGAATAAACCCCGGGATCCGTGCGCCCGCAGAATAAACCCCGGGATCCGTGCGCCCGCAGAATAAACCCCGGGATCCGTGCGCCCGCAGAATAAACCCCGGGATCCGTGCGCCCGCAGAATAAACCCCGGGATCCGTGCGCCCGCAGAATAAACCCCGGGATCCGTGCGCCCCGCAGAATAAACCCCGGGATCCGTGCGCCCGCAGAATAAACCCCGGGATCCCGTCGGGTACTAATATTATGGGAAGGGATGATGTGTATTGTATTTCCAGATGAAAAGCCGCATGGAATGAAGGAAAACTGCAGGAGAAAAGATTCCATGATTGCCCCCGTGGAATAATTCCAGAGGAAAGCCGAGTACTAACCGTCAGATGAGCGCACGGTCGCTCTGTAACCCGTATTTCCCATATGAGTTTCTGATGGAATGTGTTGGGGGGTGTACTGTGGTGGTGTTTTGGGGTGTACTGTGGTTGTGGGTTGTGTACTGGGTGTGCTGGGGTGTTGTAGATGTGCTGGGGTGTGTGGGGGTTGTGTTGTGGATGTACTGGGATGTGTTGGGATGTACTGGGATGTGTTGGGATGTTACTGGGGTGTGTGTTGGGATTTACTGGGTTGTGTGGGGTTTTGGGGTGTACTGTGGTGTGCTGGGGTGTATATACTGTGGTGTGCTGGGTGTGTACTGGGGTGTACTGTGATGTGCTGGGGTGTACTGTGGTGTGTGTTGGGATGTACTGTTGTGCTGGGGTGTACTGTGTGTGTGTACTGGGGTGTTGGGGAGTACTGTGGTGTGCTGGGGTGTACTGGGTGTGCTGGGGTGTATGTGTGTGTGGGGTGTACTGGGATTGTTGGGGGTGTACTGGGATGTGTTGGGGTGTACTGGGATGTTTTGGGATGTACTGGGGTGTGATGTGTAACTGGGGGGGGGTGATGTACTGTGGTGTGCTGGGGTTGTACATGGGTGTGGGGTGTACTGTGGAGTGTGGGGAGTGTACTGTGTGTGTGCTGTTTTTTTTGGGGTGTGTACTGGGATGTTTTGGGGTTGTACTGTGTTTGGGGTGTACTGGGATGTTTTGGGATGTACTGGGGTGTGTTGGGGTGTACTGGGGTGTGCTGGGGTGTACTGGGGTGTGCTGGGGTGTACTGTGGTGTGCTGGGGTGTACTGTGGTGTGCTGGGGTGTACTGTGGTGTGCTGGGATGTACTGTGATGTGCTGGGGTGTAAGGGGAGGGGACTGGGGTGTGAAAGAGGGGACTGGGGTGTGACAGGGGAGTGGCTTTGGTGTGAAAGGGGAGTGGCTTTGACGAGAAGGGGAGGTGGCTGGGAGTGGAGGGGGAGGAGCCTGATGAGTGAATGGGAGTGGCTGAGATATGAAGGGGAGGGGACTGAGGAGTCAAGAAAGTGGAGCGGATATGGGAAGGGGGAGGGGCCTGAGGTGTGAAGGGGAAGAGCTGATATATGAAGGGGGGGATGAGATGTGAAGGAGGGCTGATATATGAGGTGGGAGGGTACTGAAGACTCTGATTGGCTCGGTGTTTTGTGTACATCGCTTTGGAATTCGTTGGTGATATCGGAGTCGCACTCTCTTTATTCTATAGCTCTGGTGACGTCAGACTCCATATCACGTGACCCAGCACACTGTGCTCTGGGAGGGGGCGGGGCCCGGTTGCCTAGAAACCGTTTCCTGTCATTTGGAGGCCGATTGACGTCATCGATGCGCTGTGATTGGTCGGGGTTGTAGTTTCCGGTGAGCAGCGGAGACACCCGGAGGAGGCCCAGGACACCCGGATCAGCCGGGAGAGCCACCCGAGCAACCGAACCGACAGGTGAGAGCGGAGATCGGGGGACGTGTGATCGTACCGAGCTCCGATTACCGGGTCGGGAAACCGATCTCATCTGATCTCCGTAGAGGGCATAGTCTGACCAATACCGACCCCCACCGATCGTTTCAGACACCCACCAATACCGAGATTTCCCCCCACCGCCGATTGTCTCTGACTCCCACCGATACTGAGATCCCACCGATACTGAGATCCCCCCCACCGCCGATCGTCTCCGACTCCCACCGATATCAAGATTCCCCCCCCCACTGCCGATAGTCTCCGACCGATACCGAGATCCCCCACCGCCGATTGTCTCCGACTCCCACCAATCCCGAGATTTCCCCCCACCGTGTTAATCTCTGACACCCACAGATACCAAGATCCCCCCACCCACCACAATTGTCTCAGACTCCCACCAATACTGAGATCCCACTGATACCGAGATTCCCCCCCCCCCCCCCCACTGCGGATAGTCTCAGACTCCCACCGATACCGAGACCCCCCCCCCCCCCCCCCACCGCCGATCGATCGTCTCCGACTCCCACCAATACTGAGATCCCACTGATACTGTGATACCACCAATAACATGATCCCCCCCCCCCCCCCT